TGAATACCGACCACCATTCGATGACACTTTCCACTAATATATCTGAGAAATAATCGACGTTCTACCAATCCGAGTGGATGTAAAGCAACATATTTTCGATGAAAACTTAAATAATGGCACAGTAAAAAAAACGTGGTCTCTTGGTTTTGGTATTGGGAATTTTTATAATTAAGGGGGATTTCACATCTTCAACATTATCAATAGTTAAATTGAACGAATCAGAACGGCATGCGCCTGCAACCCTCAAGATTAAGACGACCTATCAAGAAGCTTTTTAAAAATGTTCTTTTATTTTAAAACGTTTACCTTCATCACCAAATATAAATTATCAGGTGCACTATTCAAAAATGCAATCAACTTGCTCCTTTGTAAATACATTTTTCGGTGCATATCCCTCATTTTGTTTCTTGTGAAGAGCACGTAACTTTGAATATTTGCTTATATCAATCCCCTTCTTTATATCCATAGATCTAAAATATTAGATCTATAGATATGACCAAAGCGTTGAAGGCTTCATTTCATTTGCTAAGTTTGAGAAATACACCATTAATACATCTTCTGAATACAGCTTAATGTTTTTTCTTTGCACCAATTCATAAAACGTTGGCAGACACATTCATAAATTTCTCGAGATGTCTTTAGAAGAAGATTCAAGAAGAAGAAGATTCAAGAAACCTCTTTCGCACACTCCAGTATCTCCTCAGGTACACCTAAATCTTCATTAGATTCCATTTTTACAGAATTTTCAGCAAATTAAACCACCAACAATCACAAATGAACTCAATTAGCAATATGGCGACTAATGTTGTGTGTGATAAAGTATCCATAGCTACATCGATATATCCTACCTACCTACTTTGCTTTATTATCCAAATTTGGTTTGAATAATTTCACAACACAAATTAATAATTAAATAGGGGATTTCGGTTGGAGAAAAAAATAGCATGTTTTATTTGGATGAAATGTGTCTTTTTTGTCTCGCAATTTTGCAAAAGTAACACTTTTAATCCTAATATAACAATATACTATTTTCACATGCATTTTTACTGGTGATATTCATTCTTCATTCCAAAAAAAAATATAAAATATGGGATGTAGGTACAATGGACCCATGCGAATGTCGTAGTGTAAAAATGAAATCAAAAAGGACACTTCGAAAATCAATTAAACACATTTGATCATGTCTGATCCAGTTGTTGACGAAAAAGTGCTCCATCTCGCTGTTCTTGTGCTGTTCTTACAGACGTAATCCCATTTTATTATAACCTTTTTGGTGATACCAATATTTTTAATAGCACAAATGTCACCAAAATTTTTAGAGTTGTGAATTGGCTTATATATCGACTACACATCGTATTATTTTCAAGTGCAGCCTCCACCTGCTCTGGATAATGAAAGGTGTAAAGGAACCTACGATGCAGAACGCAAACAATAGGAACACACTTAAAACTCAGTAAAGTACCGCATTGTAAGTGAAATAAATTCTTTCTGCGGACATACCTTCCTGCAGGCTAATAGGACAAGTCATGATTTCCAACAGCCAAATAAATATTTTCGTTTTTTCATCTATTCCTAAGAGGTTGTATGAGATCATTAACGTTTAACGAGAAAAGTATTTTTATACACAAAAACCGACCCAGATAACTAGGCCCTCGTTGCTCAAACAAGAAAATTAATGTCGGGGTCGAACTATTTCCGTGATAAGCGGTAAAGGCATCGTTGCTGACCGGCCGAAATAAACCATCGGATTACAAAAACGGACCCGCTTTCATAGCAGCGCATCGAAAGACACATGTCACTCGACATTAAAGTCCACATTATCACATGCTCGGACCAAGTAATCTCTGATCTTCTCGTAAAAAAGCTCTCGGTTGCGTCTCGTTAGATATCGAATTGAACAGTGATGTAATTACACAGATCGATCTGTGTTCCAATGGTGATATTTTATGGGAGTCCCAGGAGTAGAGGCGACTATTAACATTCCATACTCGTTACGGCGTTGACGGTTCGATGTTTGTTTTTACTCTCACGTCGTTAAAGAGGCGCTAAATAAATAAATGCTTTTATGTCGCTCGATGGTTGTAATGCGAGGGAGAGTTTTTCAAGCGTTGAACACGCGACAGATTTTATTGCCGTTTTTGTGCGCTAATAAAAGTAATCAATTGCAATAAGGACCTTCGCACCTTAGGTTCGTCCGTAGGTATCTGTTATAAAACAACTCGTGCATACATTTCTATTGGTATGCAGACATCCTAAAAATTTTTAGTGTGCAAATTTAAGTCGAAGTCATTTGTCAATTTCTTCTGGGCTAATAAAAATAATCGATTGCAATAAAAATATTGTCACCTTACGTTCGTAGTTATCTACTATAAAACGACACTAAAAACATATTTAGTGTCGACAAATCAAAGTCGAGGCCCTTCATCAAATACTTGTTATGCACTAAAGAAAGTAATTATGCAATAATTAAAAACATCTCAGCTTACGTTCATAGTTCATCAATTTTTACCTTATTGTAAAACATGTAATAAATTAAGTGGATAAATTAGATAGATTAGATTAAGAGAGCTCTGTAGCAAATAGGCAACCAGCAATACATTTTTATAGATTTTATTACAGTTTGTCTAAATATGAATTAATGCACAAATAACAAACTTTCATCCATTCTAACGCAGATTTTCTATAAAATGGAGTTAGTTTGAAATTCAAATTACTTTTTATTGTAAAGAAATTTGTAATTTACCGCTAATTTGCCGCTGAAAAGCGACATCGTAAATTACAATTTTTCTTTACACCAAAAAGTAATCTGAGTTTCAAACTAAGTCCATTTTATAGAAAATTTGTGTTAAAATGGGGGAAAATCTGTTATTTGTGCATTAATTCATATTTAGACTGTGTAATAAAATCTATAAAAATGTATTGCTGGTTGCCTATTTGCTATAGAAACTGAAGGAAGAATATAACAATCTTCACCATCTCTCGTTGACATAACAGAAACAAATCGGGCGGTAAATTTAAGTTGTTTAAAAGTAATGTTTACAAATATTGGGTTAAAAATTACCACTATCTGCAACTACAAATTTATTAGTATACCTACTGATAAATGATAATTATACGTCTGTGAAGACAATAAGTAGAAATCAAATAAATTGATATAATAAAACATAAAACTTTATAATGTTTACGATCAACAATCTACAAATTACGTAATATTTATTGGACAATAAAAATATAGAAATTATTTAGATATATTTCTTTGAATTTATATAATATACAGGGTGTCTCGAATTAGTGGGACACAGAGCAGGGATAGATTCCTTACATCAAAATAGTGCGATATAGCTAACCTTACCTGAATCCATTTGTGGATAATAAAAAAGTTACAGGGTGTTAAAGTTAAAATGTCGAAATCAAAGTTCTTAAAATTTTTAGAAAGTTTTCAAAGAATTTGAAAATTTGGATTCGGGGGAAAACAATTCTGGACTTAGCTCTGCTGTAGATGCTAGAGGTCGCTACAAAATGTACCCTTGGTTGATAAAAGTTGGTCTTTTTTTTGTCTGTGTCCGTATGAAAGTTTTAATAGAAAAATATTATTCTCTTATCTATTTTAGACAAATAAAATATACTTGTTTTATGTCGATAAATTCGATACGATTTATTTGCTGTTTTTCCATTGAACGCAATTTAATTCCCAATACATTGTTTGTACTTACTAACTTTCTAAAAATTTTAACTTTAACACTCTGTAACTTTTTTTATCCACAAATGGAGTAAGGTAAGTTTAGCTATATCACACTATTTTGATGTAAGTACCTAATCTACTCTTGCTTTGTGGGACACCCTGTATAAAGAACATTGTTAAATATGTGAATATTTACAACTGTAGTTGGTTTATATTTGATGCAAAGTAATAAATCATTGCCTGTCAAGGGATTCAGTGCAGTACGGTTTTAAGGGGTTTAGAAGTTGAATAATTTCTTTATACATTATGAAGGGATGAAGGGATCAATTCGCGTCTGGCACCCTTGTTCCTTCAAAAATTCCTTTATTCTCATAAACTATTTATTTTAAATGTAATTTATTATAAATCCAATTTGTTTTTTAAATTCCACATACGTACTACTGTTTACTTGATCTCAATGATAAAATCAATCATAAATGGCAGTAAACACTTTCTAAATTAAAATTAAATCACTAATTTTCTTATCTTCGAGTTAAAACACAATTAAAAATAAATATACGGTGTCTGACTCATTTCTGTCTACAATCTAAAGCTGAGTATAAATGTAAGTTGCGTGTTGTTATTTTTTATGTAGGTACATCCATCCTTGTTCTTGGTTGTTTAATAAAAGAAATACTTTGCAGCCAATCAGAAATAAGAAAAATATACATGTGAAAGCGGCTTAACTACCTTAACTTTGTCAGTGTTGTTGAAAGCAAAATTATCAGACCTACTGTTTTTGAACCCTGCCTTCTACAGTTGATATATCAATCAAGGTGACAATACTTTGAAGTACCTAACGGTATTGTATGATATACCAGTATCGATGCTACGTTTCTAGCAAATCTAACATCTGTAGCTGCCTCTATCTTTAGTACATTGTTTTCCAAAATAGAATAGACCTAAAATTCACACCAAAAATTTGAAACTTTAAATTGGATTTTAAATCGTCAGCTCATGAGAAATTATATTGCTCGGGCCTAATGGACAGAGCATAGGGCTATTCTATTTGGGGAAAACAAACTTGCTCGTCGTTGTTACATTTACCTGATGTGGTGGGGTAGCTTATAAACTCAATGGCTATACTGATAATTCGGTATAATAGGTCTCTATCAGCGTCTAGTACTCTGAATTTGAATTCTATGATTTCAACTTGATCTCGTGTTTCTAAATAATTTCATTTCATGCCAAGGAATGTCGATTATCTTTAAATAAATTATTATACTGTTATATGCAAATGCATGATGGATGGATATTTATTGAAGTAATTACTTTTCAGACCAAATGTGTGTCGATCGCGAACAAGAACCTACTGTTGTCCAGGATGGCAAAGGCACAATTTATTAGGATTATGTATAATTCGTAAGTTTATTTTTTTTCTTCTCATACCTACTTTGGTTATCAATTCATGTTTTAACCATTTCAATGTTCCACTAAGCAAAATATTTGTATTGTCTTTTTTAACTATATTTTAATTTATAAAGACCTGGCAATATTTTTTTTTAGCTGTATGCTCAAGGCCTTGCGGATCAGGCCAGTGCGTGTCACCAAACACGTGTCTGTGCGAAGGTGGCCACAAAGCTTCGAGTTGCAAACAGAGTTACAAGCAAATTCAAGGTAACGAGTTGACTGAAATCAGTTAGACATTTTCTAAGAAAAACTGTTCTAGGAAGCGAAGGGAGACCTTGTCGTGCCATTTGTATGAACGGGGGTTCCTGTGTGGATGGGAAATGTGTTTGCGAGGCTGGATATACCGGGGAGTTTTGCACGGAACGTAAGAATATTAATTATTTCTTATGAAAGACTGAAAATCCTTGTTTTATGTTTTTCAGCTATTTGTTTAGACCCCTGCAAAAATGGCGGACGTTGTATTGGCCCCGATAGATGTGCTTGTGTGTACGGCTTTTCAGGGAACCACTGTGAAACAGGTAAATAGAATGTTCATTTATTTTTTTTTATATCGAAACACTCAGTTACAAACAACACACACAACATTTTTTAAATGATATTTTTTTCTACCCATACAGTTGTTTTTAAGCGAGTGTAGGTGTTCGTTCCACCACCTTTTTAGATATTTAATACATGATTTTAGATTATAGGACTGGTCCCTGTTACACGGGATACCGGAGCACCCTGTGCGTTAACCAGCTGGAAGGAGTGGTTTGTACCAAAACCCTTTGCTGTGCTACCGTCGGTAAAGCGTGGGGCCATCCCTGTGAACACTGCCCCTCTCGGTTAGAGTGCGAGATAGGATTCCTGAAAAATCTGAAGACCGGAGAATGTGTGGGTATGTAGCGAGTGGTTCTAAAATCAATCGTGGTTATTACTAGATCTCGTTGCAGATATAAATGAATGCGAAGCGATCCCTCACTTATGCTCCGGAGGTAGCTGCGTCAACTCCGTGGGATCTTTCACGTGCGAGTGCCCTCCGGGACAAACTAGGAACCCCGCTACGAATAGCTGCGATGACAGGAATGAGTGTGAGGACGAGGATATCTGTCAGAACGGTCAGTGTTATAATACCAAAGGTGGTTACTTCTGTTTGTGCCACCCAGGATTCATCCAGAGTCAAGATAAAACGTATTGCATAGGTGGGTACACAATAATAAACAAAGTACATACATGTATAATTTAAATACAATATTTTGAGTTTCAACTTTAAATTTCTGGTTTGAACGGGAAATATCATATTTTAAAGTGTAAATTTCTAATTTGCACACCAAATTTCAAATGTGACTTAGAAATGTTTAGTTTATAACAGAATTTTCAACCGATATTCGAACTTGAATTTTTAGTTATTTTAGAAATAAGGAAAGGTCCAATTTTCTTATTTCTAAAATAAGTTACAATGGAAAACTCACATTTATCAATTTTGAACTTGAATTTTCAGGTCTGAACTCGAAAATTTGAGCTTAAACTTTTGAGTTTGAAGCTGAAATTTCGAGTTTAAATTTAAAAATTGAGCATGAAATCCAAAATTTTCAGTTTAAAAATAAAATTTCGAGTTTGAGCCCTAATTAGAAATTTCGAGTGAAGTTATAATTTTTAGTTTGAAACATAAAATTTAGAATTTGAACTCAAACTTGAAATTTCAAGTCTGAACTCGAAATTTCGAGCTTATGCCTTATAAAATTTCTGGTTTGAACTTGAAATTTTGTTTAAATTCAAAATTTCATGATTTAAACTAAAAATTTGATATTTCAAACTCAGAATTTTAGGTTTAAGCTAGAAATATCGAGACGTCATTAGAATTTTTTATTTAAAAATAAGATATTTCAAATTCAAACTTGATATTCCAAGTTTAATTCAAAATTCCATGTTTTAAATTAGAAATTTTGAATTTCAAATTCTAAATTTCAAGTTCAAACCAGAAATTTTATTAGGCCTAAGTTTGAAATTTCGATTTCAGACTTGAAATTTCAAGTTTGAGTTCAAATTCTAAATTTTATGTTTCAAACTAACAATTTTAACCATTCCAAATTTCTAATTAGGGCTCAAATTCGAAATTTTATTTTTAAACTAGAAATTTTGAATTTCAAGTTTCAAATTTTAAATGTAAACTCGAAATTTCAGCTTCAAACTCAAAATTTTGCATTTAAACTCAAAATTTAGAATTTGAACCTAATTTTAAAATTTCAAGCTTTATCTCGATACGTAGAGGTGAAACTTAAAATTTCTAGTTTGTAATTGAAAATTTCTAGTTTTAACTTCGAAATTTTAAATTTAAACTCAAATTTCCATGTATCAAATAAAACATTTTAAGATTGTATTCAAAATTTCAATTGTGACATTTCGAACTCAAAATTTCGACTTCGAAACTTGAAATTTGGTGAACAAAGAAATTAAATAATGCTATGACCTTCGTAGCTTCGTATTTTTGAGATATTTTCATCGACTAATTCACTTCTCTCCCGTCAGATGGTCGGCAGGGTTTGTGTTATACCGAGCGAACCCACCAAGGATACTGCACTAACAGCCTGCAGGTCCGCCTCTCGAAGAAGGACTGCTGTTGCGGCTTCAACATGGGACAGGGGTGGGCGATGTTCGAAGGAGACGAATGTATACGATGTCCTGAATTCGGGGAAGGTAAAAAAATTACGTACAACCAAAACCGTGTATGTTAAATGCATCGATTTCAGACGAACATCGGAAACTCTGCGAAGCAGCCACCCGTCACATCATTCCGGGTGACACGAGCGTCCACATCACCACCGGAGACATGAAAGTGGACCAAGTGAGCCACATCACGGCCGTGAACGAGTGCATGTTGAGGCCCGACATCTGCGGAAAGGGACGGTGCATCGACACCCAGAAAGGGTACGAGTGCGAGTGTGATTCTGGATACCGTCTGGGAAAATCACATGTGTGTGAAGGCTAGTGCTACTTTTCTATATTTATTTATTTTATTTACAATTTAAAACATGTTATTATTTAATCAGTGATAAAAATTGAAAATAGTTGTTTAATATACAGGGTGTCACAAAAAGACCTGAACTTCTGGTAACTTTTCAGGATTGAGATCAAATAAAGATATCAGTAAACCAATACGCCAATATGATATTGAGTTTGGCCTTGATCTTAAGTTTTAAGGTCAAAGCAAGGTCAACTGTAAAACATTAAACGAAACCCCCTATGTTTTACACCAGATAGAGCGCTACATTTTATGTCCCCAATAAGCGGTCTAATAATTTTAGTCGAATAGTTTTATTAAATTCTTTCACTTTTACATCCTTCATATTTTGTGAAAAATTTTGTTTAACCTTCAAATAACTTACAAGGACGTCATACATCCCAGATTCCGACATAAAATTTGGCTCAGCGTCGGGTGCTCGCATAAAAAACAGCATATTCCATTTAATATTAAGTTGACCTTACTTTAATATTGCAACTTGTGGTGGAGGTCAATCCAAGGTCACCACCTAATTTGTATGACTTTTTTACTACGCAGACATCGACGAATGTAGAGAAGGCAAGTGCGTGAACGGCCGATGCACCAATACTCCCGGCAGTTACGTCTGCAAGTGCCCGCCCGGCTTCGACGTTTCCCCCGACGGTTCAATGTGCACCGACCACGATGAATGCGCCGAAATAGGGATGTGCACCAATGGCATCTGCATCAACATGGACGGCAGCTACAAGTGCCAGTGCAAGACTGGATTTAAGCTCTCTGCGACTGGATTCGCATGTATAGGTGAGTGACAGATATCGTTTCGACATTTTTAATAAAGAATCCTGCAATTTATTAATCTGCTCTTGTTTTATACCGGCTTGATAGAGGAAAATGTTAGATTTGTCCGTAACTTCCTTGTCTTTGAGAATAACGAAAAGGTTTAAAATTACTTTTCGCTAATTTTTTCTAACTATTTTTTATCATAGTGCCTACTATACCTGGATCTCTACAATGTGATACTCAATTGTTTTCTTTTTGTCAATAAAAGAAATGGATATCGAATCTTCCAACTTAAAAATTTTTTTTTTTAAGAAATGAACATTTACTTTTGAAGAAAACCACCCCACACCTCGGATAAAATTAGTGAAAATTCATATTTCATTTTTCTTTACAAATAATGTCAATGTTGTTTAGATATCGACGAATGCTATGAGAACCCCCGGATCTGCCTCAACGGCCGGTGCGAAAACACACCCGGTTCCTACACGTGCGCCTGCCTACCCGGTTTCATAGAATCCAACGACCGCACCTTCTGCAGTGACATGGACGAGTGTACCTCAACAGGTCGGTAAACCTCTACCTCCTCTACCGTTACTTTACTTAAAATTTGTTTCCTGAAAGGCATGTGCGAACACGGGAAGTGCTTCAACACCGAGGGCTCCTTCCGCTGCGTCTGCGACTCGGGATATCGCCTGGGCCCCGACGGGAAGCACTGTGTCGACATCGACGAGTGCATCAACAACCCCTGCCAATTCGGCACCTGCTACAATACCCTGGGCAGCTTCAGGTGCGAGTGCCATTCGGGCTTCAGCCTCGGCTCGGACGGAAGGTCCTGTCTCGACACCCGCCGAGACTTATGTTATCAGGAATACCGAAACGGTATGTGTCTCAACCCGTCCATGACAGCGGTAACGAAATCGAGCTGCTGCTGCTGCACCATCATCTCCGGGAAGCCGATGGGTTGGGGCACCAACTGTCAGCCTTGCCCGATGCCGGGCACGACGGATTTTGACCAACTATGCCCGCACGGGCCCGGCTCCACGTTCGACGGCAATGACATTAACGAGTGCGCTCAGAATCCCAACATATGCCAGAATGGCGCCTGCGAGAATCTGATCGGGACGTACCGGTGCATCTGCAATCCCGGATTCGAGGCAGATGACACCCTGAAGATATGCACGGACATCAACGAGTGCGAGGTTGAGGAGTTGGTAAGTAACAGAAAAGTGTGAAGCAAGGTGTGTACGATCGGGAAAACCTGGAATTATCGGGGAATTCTGTAGATCTGGAAATGTCGGGAAGATATCAGGAAATTTCTCAAATTTTTCTAGAACTTTTAAAAATTCCCCCAGTAACGACACATTCTGGGCTATTTTCTCTTCCACGGCAAATATCATAAATTTTTGTAGACGATTATCATAAAAGGGAAAAGTTATAAAAGAAAAGGCAAAAATGTCAACAATAAAATGTCACGGGAGCATACAAAGAGGACTGAGGGTCACTATGTGCTCCTCGGCTTGCAAGAGAAACCTTTTGTACACCAAAATACATTCTTTCACTCATTTAAAAACAAAATTTGGAATTTTTTTTACACAAGTCATCTTTTTCATATTTTTAATTAAATTTTCCATTTTATATCCTCAATTTTAGCTAATTAAAATAATTAGTTATTTCCTAAACTAAAAATCCAAAAAATCTATACAGGGTGTTTTTAAATGAAATAGCAAAATGGAAATTATTTTGAGAATATTCTTTAAATTTAATTTTGCATTTCTTGTTTTTCTTTTGTATTACATTTTATTTCAGATAAATAATTTTACCTAATACATGTCCCATAGTCATAAAATAATCAAACATTTTTCATTAATTAATACTGTTAATAGCAAATTATTCTTAATGTCTCAATGTTATTATTAAATTACCAGCTTATTGACAGAAAGTGCCAATTTATTAATATGATAAATCACAATTTATTTGTTATGACATCCGCCTACTTTATTTTTACAAATTTTTGCAATTACCGTTTAGTGAACGATGACGCATCTAATTTTTTTACTAGAAAACTATCGGTTTTGTCGAAAAATTACAAGAGGTAAAAATAATTTGCTTCATATAAAAAATTTCTAATAAAGTATTGCAGTGGGGTTGACTGTTTCACTACTTTATAAAATATGTCAACGATTGAACAAATATTGAAAAGTTGTCTCTTTATTAGTAGGATGCTCATACCAAGTTTCGTGTCTCTAGCGTTCCTCATGTTAAAGAGGGTATATCGTCTCAGGGGTGCAATTTTCATATAAGGTATTTTTACTTCAATCCTCTTATTTTTGGCTCTACATTCACTGGTACCATTTTTGCTACTTCATTTAAAAACACCCTGTATGTATTATAGAACCACAAACCCTTCCGTTGGTGTGCTGAACCTTACTTTGCTGCTTGTCCAGTTTTTCATTATAAGTTGTAGTTGTTAATATAAATTAAATTGAATTNTTTTTTTTTTCAAAATCAAAATTTTTTTTAATGTTTCAAGTCTCGGAAAGCCTGAAAATGTCAGGATTTTTTTTTCAAAATTTGGTATGGTGCTCCTGGACGAGCTGAAACTAAACGACTTAACTCGTACAAGACGTTTCCATTATGAATTGTTAGATCAATTGTACAGGTGTGCAGCGGAGGGCAGTGCCGGAACACCCCCGGCAGTTTTCAGTGCATCTGTCCCACGGGTACACAGCTGAATGCGCGTAACTTCGTCTGTGAGGACGTCGACGAGTGCAGGGAGTTGGGACCTGAGGCGTGCTTCAACGGAGAGTGCGTCAACACTCACGGCTCGTATAAGTGCGAGTGTGATCCCGGCTCGATCTTAGACAACACCGGACGGATCTGTATAGGTTATTATAACGTTTACTTTCCATAAATATCAATTTATTTGCCTTCAATAATAATGTCTGTTGCCCTCGGTAATGTGCAAAAAATTGTACGACTATAGTTCTTATTCAGATAACAGGAAAGGCACTTGTTGGACGACTTTGAACAGGGGCCGATGCGAGAACAACCTTCCGCTCCTCAGCCGAAGGTCAGAATGCTGCTGCTCGGTAGGCGTCGCCTGGGGCTCCCCCTGCGAACGCTGCAACAGAAACGAATGCGACTGCCCCAAAGGTTACGCCAAGGCCGACGGAAAAACCTGTACTGACATCAATGAGTGCGACCTAAACCCCGACATCTGCCAGGGAGGAGGAACTTGCATGAATACAGACGGCAGCTTCACTTGCACCTGCCCCCCGGGTCTAACCCTGGACGAAACTAGTAAGAAATATTACCAACCGCCCAATTCGAAACTTGAAATAATACGTGTTCCAGGAACGAAGTGTTTGGACATACGACAGGAGCAGTGCTACACCCGGTACAAGCACGGGAAATGCGTCAATCCCATCGACGGGCTCTTCTACAGGAACCTGTGCTGTTGCACGCAGATCGGCAAGGCTTGGGGCGACAAATGCGAGCCGTGTCCCAGACCGGGCACAGCCGCCTTCCTAGAGCTGTGTCCGAAAGGGATGGGGTTCGTGGATAAAAAGGATGTCAATGAGTGTACCGAGTTCCCCGGAATGTGCCAGAACGGTAGGTGTAAGAATACCATTGGCAGCTACAACTGTAAATGCAATAAGGGCTACGACTACGACGAGAATAAAATAAAGTGCGTGGGTAAGTTATAAAAGTGTCTCGTTTTGATTGTCGTTTTATATTCTCTTTGATTTCTAGATATTGACGAGTGCAACTTGACGACCGATAATGTATGTGGGAATGGTGTTTGTAAAAATATACCCGGAGACTTCATTTGTGTGTGTAACGAAGGGTACAGGACTATGGCACCGATGCAGATTTGTATGGGTAAGTTTTACCTTTATACTTCAGGTCCAAAATAATGGAGAATAGAGGCCACAATTTTTACTACTACTTAATCTGATCAAATATTTTTGTGTATTCTTTACTTAGAAATTGTAACGCTGTTCATTGTGTATAATGTTCCAATATGTTCATCCTATTCTATCATTTCATATACAAAAAGAAGCGACCATAGTTGCTTAGTTTCATTTCTTGATTTGTTGATTTCCAGTTTAGGCGTTTCCCTTCGTGTCATATGCGTGCAAGTGGGAAATACATTATTTTCGCATATTGGTTATTCCAATAAAGTGGTGTTAAAAATTAAGTTGTGTGGGGGGTGATAGTGGCGTATTAATGTAATCGAGATTGTTGTAGGTGAATGAATTGAACAGATTGAGAACTTTGTCTGATAAACAGTTAAACCGTGGAAATGTGCAATTCACATGACATGATAATAAATATGTGAATTGTAGGAAGATTACAGATTTTATTTTAAAAATTAACTATCAACATTAAAGCAAATTCAAACTGCAATCAGTTTTTTCATAGTAGACCGATCGAAATAACTCATTTAGAGGGGGAAAAAAAAAGAAAATTGTTGCCTGAACTTTTATAAGTGGAAATGATAAAGGGGCTTATAATAAACGAAAAAATAAATAAATGCGTGAGCAGGGTTGGCGGAGCGGAGGGTTGATTTGGGGATTGAAAAGTTGTAAAAAATTGTATCATTGGGATTTCTGGCGAAAATTGATGTCCAACAAAAAAGTATTCCATACAAAAGTAGTAGATCATGTAAAAATATACAACTTTTGTAGAGGTCACTTTTTAAGATAACCTCAAAATTTCCAAGAAAAATGCAAAGACCGGTTTTTTTCTGATTTTTTATTTTTTATTTCTCATTTCCGCAAAAATAATTTAATTTTGACGAAATAACCACAAATTATTTTAGATAATAAAATCAAGAAATTTCCAATATTCATTTTTTTCCAGTCTGAAACACTTTTTTTTTCAAAGAAAAATTCTTAGAAAAATAATCGTACAGAGTTCTGCCGGTGATCATTTTTTTCTTTATGACATACTTTTTGGTGAAATAAAAAAATCTGTAATCGCATTTCAAAAACATGCTCAAAAAAGCAAAAATAATAAAAAATGACTTGCAACAATGAATTTTTCAGTAATTGTTGCTAATTTGTTTAAATTAAAAAAGAATTCAAAAACTGATTATACCATTCAATTCTACGGAAAAAATACAAAAAAAACTGTCTCATTTGACCCATGACTTTATTTTTGTACAGTATTATTATAAACATAAGTCGAATAGTGAATAAATAAATTAAATAATAATTTTTTTTCCGTAGGATCGTTTAGTGTACTTATTTTTTTAAATTTTGATGAATTCATAGATATACAGTGTGTCCAAAATAAGGATGGGATAGCATTAGGATCTAAGAAACGTTAAGAGATACGGGGTGGCTCAGCTTAGAAAAAAGTTGTGTTTTTTTACACCTAACAATATGCCCTTTAGAAAGTTTAAAAGTTCCGGGTAGTTCCGGAGATATCCGGAAAAAAACGAAATTTTGCAAAATTGTTTAATTTTTTTTCTGGCTTTGAAAACGAATTTTAAAATAAATTGCATATTTCCTATGCCACTTTTTTCGCTCTATACAATGGCGTCAACATTTTTGCAATTCAACGTTTCGTCTTCGATAGGTCATCATCAGATTAATTTTTTTTAAATATGTTGCTGCTATTTTTATGACCAAATATGACATAATTAAAAATGATTAGATTTTGTCATAAAAATAACAGACGTATTTAAAAAAATTAACCTGATCGAAGACGAAATGTCGGATTGCAAAAATGTTGACACCATTGGATAAAGCGAAAAAAGTGGCAATGTAAATATACAATTTATTTTAAAATTCGTTTTCAAATAAAGCCGGAAAAAAATAAAACGATTTTGCAAAATTTCGGGTTTTCGGGTTTCATATAACTGCAGTTAATACTTTGTATTGCAAAAATCTCAAATCATCCAGATAATTTATCATTTGTGCATTTGTAATTAGACTTAATGTTTATAGCAATACTGTACAAAAATAAAGTTTTGGGTCAAATATAATGAGTTTTTTTATATTTTTTTTTCGTAGAATCGAATGGTGTAATCAGTTTTTGAATTTTTTTTAATTAAAACAAATTGTCAACAATTACTGAAAAATTCAATGTTGCAAGTCATTTTTTATTTTTTTTTGCATTTTTGAGCATGTTTTTAAACTGTGATTGTAGGTTTTTTTATTTCACCAAAAAGTATGTCAAAACGAAAAAAAATATCACCGACAGAACTCTGAACGATGATTTTTCTAAGTAGAATTTTTCTTTGAAAAAAAAGTGTTTCAGACCGAAAAAAAAGTATATCTCAAAAATTTCTTGTTTTTTTTATTTAAAAAAATTTGTGGTTATTGAAGACACAGAAAGGTATACTTTCACCAAGTTTCATCAAAATTAAATTATTTTTGCAGAAATTTTTGGTTTATTTTAGGCCCTTTTACCATTTCCACTTATAAAAATCCAAGTAACAATTTTTTTTTTTCTCCAAGTAGACTTTGGTTGGACTATAGTGAAAAATTTAATTTAGGAAATTAAAAGGCAGTTAATTTGTTTTGTGATTTTTTTATTGAATAGACGAAAAATGAAAATAATGAATTTCTTAATACGCAGACACTTTTATAAGGGGAAAATTAGGGTAATCAAAACAGTTCTTGAAAATAAAAAGGGTTCTGGTCAGTTTTAGTGAAAATCCATTTTCAAAAATTTTGCGAAGCAAAACCTTTAGCTGTAAATTTTTATCATTTTTTTTTCTAAAATAGTTGGATTTAGGAACCATAAAGTTTTTTTGTGTATACTGTCATCAAGGCATTCACTGGCACAATTTCACAGACAACAAAATCGTAGAATCACGATAAGTGATTAAATTTTTTCTACAGACATCGATGAGTGCTTGGAAATACCCGGTTTGTGTCGGGGAGGACGATGCATCAACTTGGATGGTTCTTTCAAATGCGAATGCCCTCCCGGTCACGAACTGGCACCCGACAAGGAATCCTGCAAGGATATCGACGAATGCTCTAGGTCCAGTGGGATTTGTTCAAACGGCGTCTGCGAGAACATGATGGGGACGTATCAGTGCATTTGTAACGAGGGTTATCAACAAACGGGCCTCAAATCACACTGTGAAGGTGCGTTCACTTAATTTTTTTCACACAAAATGTATTACCGCTATTTTTTTTTAGATATCGATGAGTGCGACGAGGAACCGTGCGACGACATTTGCTTGAACATCCCCGGAAGTTACTCTTGCTCTTGTGGGTATGATAGCATTAATCTTCATTAAACTCGGCAATATTAAGGTTTCCGTTACAGCTCCGGTTATTCCCTCAACTTAGACGGTAGGTCTTGTTCAGATATAGATGAGTGCAAGGAGAACCCGAGGATATGTAATGGCGGAAAATGCACAAACACCATGGGTAGCTACATCTGTCACTGTACCGAAGGACTCTTGGCAGGTCCCGGTGGTACATCTTGTCTGGGTAAGTATCGGATGTGGTTCTCGAAAGTATCGGTTCCAATTGGCGAATTTTAGATATCGACGAGTGCAAGCAAAACCCGAACGTATGCGGGGCCGGCGAGTGCGTGAACACTCTCGGATCTTTCCACTGCAGGTGCGAGGAAGGTTATTCAGTGAAGCCCGAGGGTGGACCGCAGTGCACTGACGAGGATGAGTGTTACTTGGGAACGTACAACTGCAATGAGAATGCCGACTGCATAAACAATCCGGTAAGTTGTCAAACATTTCTGGAAGTAATACCGGGTTATCCATTTTCTCCTTGGCGTAAAGTTTAAAAAAAAAACACCCTAAATATTTCAATTTTGATGGATTTTTTATTTCATAATAAAGTTTGGACTATGCCATTATGCTTGGAAAACAATATCATTCAAATGTCCTCAACGGAACGATTTGCAGGACTCAATCCTTTTAAGGTAATTGTAGAACCACATGTCGTCCAGATCAAAATCTTCAATTTCAGGCCAAAAATAGTCATTTCATGGCAGCATACCGCTGAGAATTGATGATAACGGTGGCTCCTTCGTCATTCTCGAAGAAGTACTGTCTGATGACACCGCCATCCCACAATGCACACCAAACAATCACTTTTTGCGGGTACAATGGTCTCTCAGCGGTCATTTGCGGCTACTCACTACCCCAGATTCATCAATTTTGCTTATTAACATAGCCGCCGAGCTTGAAATGGGCCTCATCACTGAAGATTTTCTTCGAAAAATCAGGATCAGTGGCCAGTTGTTCCAGCACCCAATTGGTATACTCACGGCGCAATCTATAGTCAGCCGTCTTGAGTTCTTGCGAGAGTTGGACTTTATATGGATTGAGATGCAGGTTCAAATGCAAAATGTGTCACAACGTGCCGTATGACAGGCCCAAATGGTGATCTTGGAGCGGAATCGAAAGATTCAGATAATTGTCAATACTTTCACTCACAGCGGCTATGTTTTCAGTTGAACATGCAAAATGATGATGCACAGGTCTTGTGATGTCTGTTACCAGTGTCTTCGAATTTCCTCACTGTATTGATGATTGTTTGTTGGGATGGACGATTATGTTGACCATAATCTCCGTGGAATGCGCGAAATTCAGCCACCGAAAATCCACCATTTTCGTAGAATAAATAATAATAATAATCGTGGTTAATAATTTTAACGCGTTATTCCGTCGTAAAACATTCCATATTGTGAAGTGGCAAACCTTTAACTAAAGAAATATCAGTCTCGAAGACTGTGGCATTTGACAAATGTCAAATGGCAGAGCTTTATTATCTATTAAGCTCGAAATGGATTACCCATTACTTTATATAGTACACACACATAAAATTTCTAACTTCATAACCGTAAATCTTGTCTAAATTTGCAAGGGGGCCATTTAAAGAAGCGGTATTTAAAACGCAGAAATGTATTAATTAATGGCTCAATTTCGTATTAACTTGAGACATAGAATTTTGAACTTATTTATATGGAGGCCAGTCCTGTGTCAATCCTTCGCACTAGAAACAGTAGAAATAATTGCATACATAAGTAAGGAGCATCAGCTTCTTGCACCCGTGTACAATTATGTAAACAAATATGACAGACATGTTTTTCGGCAGCAATCACGTGGCCTGAAAAGTATGAATTCTTATTTGGTCCGTCAAGACACATGGTAGTATTATTTTTTTCATCGCTTCTACAAAATGTGTTTTATTTCATTACATTTTGATGCCGAAATGTATTGGTTAATAATTATATTTGGTTGTTTTTATTTACGTCTGTAAAAACTTCAACATTAGCTTTATTACCGAGGAATAAACCTACAATTCAAAGCGGAGATGATCAAACCATAAGACTTACATTGGGACCAATTTTTAGTGGTGTGTTGATTTTGTCATTTCAACAGTTTTCCTTCACAGGGGTCTTACCAGTGTCGCTGCCAAGACGGATTCACCGGCAACGGAATAAGTTGCCGGGACATAAACGAATGCCTGACCAACAACGGCGGCTGCGACCAGAATGCCCAGTGCATAAACAACGACGGCTCCTTCAGATGCGAGTGCGACTCGGGTTTCAAAGGGGACGGCTACAACTGCGTGGACATAGACGAATGCTCCAACGATCCCTCGCTCTGCGAGAACGGCCAGTGTCTGAACTACCCGGGATCCTTCCGATGCGAGTGCGAGATGGGTTTCATGCATCCCAGCGAGGGAAACGACCAGTCCTGTGTCGGTCAGTAATCGTTAAGAAGAAACGTACTAATCCAAACTAACCCCATACTAAAACACTAGCGAGTAGCGACTAACAGTAATTGTAAGCCGAACTTGTTGCTTTGATAATATGATCTACACGTTGTTAACGATTTTAGATATAAACGAGTGCGACATGTTCACTAATTTGTGCGTTTTCGGAAAATGCGTCAACACTTTCGGGATGTTTCTCTGCGAGTGCCACGACGGCTACAAACTCGATGGTTCCGGCGGGAATTGCACTGATTTCGACGAGTGCGAGAGCCCTCAGTCTTGTGTTTACGGGGAATGCACCAACACCCAAGGCAGCTTCCGCTGCGTTTGCCCTCCGAACCACGAACTGGTCGCTGAAGGAAATGCCTGTATAGGTAAGAAATATAACGACATAAACTTACACTTCCCTAATCTGTCCTTGTGTAGATCGTAGAACGTCTCGGTGTTTCTTACAATACGACGGCCCGGGAAAGTGTTCGGCTCCCAGCGCAGACTATGTGACAAAAGCTTCTTGTTGCTGCTCCGTCGGCCAAGCCTGGGGTCCGCGGTGCGAGGTATGCCCTCCCTCCGACGCCCTGGAATACCAACAGCTTTGCCCGGGAGGCGGAGGATACAAGCCCAATGAGATCACGGTAAGTCAGGGAGGAAGGAGGTTTTTTCGTTTTGTTCAACGAGACACATTTCAGGTTGTTCTAGAGGACATAAACGAGTGCGAGGAACACGATAATATCTGTCAGAACGGGCACTGCACCAACACTTTTGGCAGTTTTATTTGTTCCTGCGATGACGGGTACAAACTGGACGAGACCGGGTATATGTGTGTGGATGTGAACGAGTGTGTCGAACATCCTGGGATATGTAACGTGGGGGAATGCGTGAACGAACCCGGCAAGTATCACTGCGTCTGTCCCGAGGGATACATGCCGTTGCCTGGAAGACGTAAGTACACACGTTTGTATAATTATAATTTGATACTTATTCACCTTGTAATATTCTACAAGTGACGCGATACGCATGAGGGAGCACAGACTTTGGAGCCGAAATCCAGCTTGTTAAAAACTTTCGGCGTTCTTGCGGTTGCTCTTGGACAAGTTTCATTTTTTGAACTCAAACATTTTTGCGCATGCAGACTTACCTGCCCCTTTTCATACTATTTCTCCTGCTCTTAATTCTAAACACACAACGGGAAAAAATAAAGTTCTAAATACAGTGTTATTCACAATGTATCCGAAAAAAATTGAAAATAGATGTGTCATGAAAAATTGAGTCAATATCGTAAAAAAAAATTTTTTTAAATCCTTATAGTTTCCGAAAAAAAAAATTTTCGACCCTTACATCGCTGGGGTACTGTAATCTATAGAGTCATTCACATTGTGCGCTGTGCTCAATGCACTCTCTTTCCACATGGCCCCAGGCGATTCCGAATACTGAAATCCGATTTTAGTATTAATGTTTTTTCGATAGTGTTTACATTAGTTCTTCAAGAGTCAAAAATGGCTTATGTGTGTAGTACCTCGGAGTTGACAGATATCATTTTAATTTGTGGTGAAGCAAGACAACATTTGTGTTAAGATGAAGCAAGACAATATTTGCGTTAGTTCGTAGAAACTGAGTAAAACGGGCCCAAATGCTTTTACACATCGGTGGCTAAAATTTTGAACAGTTGTTGTTGTTTGAATTTTATTAAAAAAATTAGTCAAATTATTTTATTAATTGAAACACATAATAACAATAGCGGCAAAAACAGTTGAATTTGCTGATATAAAATAAGCGTTGTAAAATTTTATTTATTTTCGAACTGCTCTTTTTAATTTTTTTTTTACAAAATTGTATTTGTAAGAGCCCTGTACATTCAAAATTTTTTTTTCGGATAATTTTCTTAATCATTCTGTATAAATATGCAGTGCAATTAATAAAATACCCTAACCCAATTAGCACTAGCACCAAAGCTCATTCTCTATCTGAAAGTACTGCTCTACTATTAAGGTCTCCTGTCTTTGTCATTCCTACTGCAGACTCTCTTCTCGAATTGTGAATCTCACGGATAAGATGAGTTTTGTCAAGCTGTAGTTAGTTCAACTTCCAAGAGCAACAAAATAGTGTCCACATAGAGCAAGTAATTGAAGTCAAGGTTTTCAATTAGATCATTAATAAAAACAATAAACAACAGTGACCCTAGAATTGATCCTTGGGGGACCCTTGAAGTTTGTACAAATTTTTGTGATAGGAAGCTATAGTAGTGTACAAATTGGTGTCTTTTACAAAAATAAAATTAAAATAAATGTAACACAGCAGTGTACACCATATAGTTTCATTTTAATTAACAGATTGTAATCGAACAACAGCAGCATCTATTTGGGTTTTTTTTCCAACGATAGATTTAAAGTAGTTGAAAAATCATACGTAACATACGACGAATTTCTTACAGGTGAATGTGTGGACATGAGAAAGGAACCCTGCTACCTGAACTGGAGCAGATGGCGCTGTTCCACGCCCATGAGCCAGAACCAAACGAGGAAGGTCTGTTGCTGCTCCATGGGCCAGGGATGGGGTGTAGACTGTCAACCGTGTCCTCTAGCAGGCACCAGTAGGTACAAATGTCATATTTATACGTTTAAATAATCACCGAAACCCCCAAACTGTACTATAATTTCCTCTCTTCAAGGCGAATACTACTCCCTGTGCGGCGGCACCGACCCGGGCACCATAATCAACCCCTTCACCAACCAGACCGAGAAGATAAACATGTGCCAGCTGATGCCATCGACAACGTGCAAGCACGGGGTGTGCAGGGACACCCCCGGCAGCTTCGAGTGCCACTGCAACCACGGCTACATCTACGACGTGAATTCCCACCAGTGCATAGACGACAACGAATGCCTGAGGAACCCGTGCGAAGGCAACGCCCAGTGCATAAACCTCCCGGGCACGTTCGAGTGCAAGTGCCCCGAGGGTTACAAGTACGGCGCCACTTACATGGACTGCGTGGACATCAACGAGTGCGTGGAGAAACCCAACGTTTGCCTAAACGGCGAGTGCAAGAACCTCCAGGGCAGCTTCCAGTGCATTTGCCACACTGGGTATCTGCTCACCTCCACCCGCGACAGCTGCATCGACATAGACGAGTGCGTGAGGCACCCTAACATATGTAATAACGGTACCTGCATAAACGTGGACGGTACCTACAAGTGTCGTTGCAATGACGGGTTTAAGTTGAGCAACGACAACGATTGCGTGGACGTGGACGAGTGCCACATGATGCCGTACCTCTGCAGGAACGGGAGGTGTAAGAACAGTTTGGGGTCGTTCTACTGCGAGTGTGCCACTGGGTATACTTTGACGGTTGATAAGCATAACTGCAGGGACATAGATGAGTGCCAGGAGGTAAGAAAGTTTATTATATTTAATTAAATTGTGCAATAATAAAAAAAGCAAAACAGAAACAACAATTAAAACAAAAAATCCAAAACAACAATGATAAAAATTTGTACAAAAATAGGAAAAAATATAGAAACAACAGTAAAACTATAAAAATACAAATATAAATGAGAAAGAGCGGTAATAAAATAGTACAAAAGTAGATTAAAGAAACAAATCATAGGGACAACAACAGTAACAATATAAACACACCAAAAAAATGTAACCAACAATGATTAAATTGTACAAAAATGAAAAATCAAATAAAACAGGAATAAAAATAAAACTATACAAAATAAGAACCAACAATGAGAAAATTATACAAAAAAAGAAAAAAAAACAAAACTTGGAAATTACCACAATAGAACTATAAAAATACAGAAATAGAAACCAACAATGATAAAATTATTCAAAAATAGAAAAAAACAACATAGGAACAATAGTGATGAAACTATAAAAAGACAAAAATCTAAATCGACAATAGCAATAAAATTATACAAAAATAGGAAAAAAATTAAACCTGCGACGATAAAATTGCACAAGAATACAATGCAAAACATAAGAACAACAATAAACTATAAATATAACGAAAAATAGTACCCACTATGATAAAGTTGTACAAAAATAGAAAAAAAAACTCAAAACAGGAACAACAGTAAAACTATAAAATAAAAAATAAAAATAGAAAATCAAACAAAACGGGAATAAAAATGAAACTATAAAAAACAAGAAATTGAAACTAACGAGAGAATTATACAGAAATAGAAGAAAAAAAAACAAAACTTAGGAATTACAACAATAGAACTATAAAAATACACAAATAGAAATCAACAATGATAAAATTATTCGAAAATAGAAAAAAAAACAACATAGGAACAACAGTGAAACTATAAAAAGATGAAAATTCAAACCAATAGCAATAAGATTATACAAAAATAGAAAAAAAAATTTAAACCTACGACGATAAAATTGCACAAGAATACAAAACAAAACATAGGAACAACAATAAAACTATAAATATAAGGAAAAATAATACCGACAATGATACAAAATAGAAAAAACTCAAAACAGGAACAACAGTAAAACTATAAAGCAAAAAAATAGAAATAGAAAGTCAAACAAAACGGGATAAAAATTAAACTATACAAAACAAGAAATTGAAACCAACAATGAGAAAATTATACAAAAATGGAAAAATAATCAAAACAGGATTTACAACAATAGAACTATAAAAATACACAAATAGAAACCAACAATGATAAAATTATTCAAAAATAGAAAATAACAACATAGGGACAACAGTGAAACTATAAAAAGACAAAAATCTAAACCAATAGCACTAAAATTACACAATAATAGAAAAAACTGTTGAAACCTGCGATGATAAAATTGCACAAGAATAAAAAAAAAACAGGAATAACAATAAAACTATAAATATAAGGACAAATAATACCGACAATGATAAAATTGTACAGTTTAAAAAATCTAAACCAACAATAGTAAAATTGTACAAAAATAGAAAAAAACATAATAGAAACAACAACAATAAAACTACTCGTATAAAGCTACAAAAAATCGGACAAACAGGCAACGACAGAAATAAAACTATAAAAACAAAAAAAATCTAAGTCAATAATAACAATGTACAAAAATAGAGAAACAAACAAAATATAGGGACAACAATAATAAAACTATAAAAACACAAAAAACAAAACGAATAATAAAACTGACAATGATAGAAAAAAAAACAACATAATAAAAGTGTAAAAACAAAAAAAAAATCTAAATAATTAACCAAAATAAGGTATTCTTTATAAACAATGACGTATGTCTTTGTGGTCAGTTACAAACTGTCTGATAAACATTTTCGTTGTTCTACTAGAAATTTTTTTGTGCACCCCAGTTTTTCCGTCCAACCATCTGGATTATTGATTGGATACTATTCCGATAAGATTACTTTTTCATTGAATATTTGTGCACTTTTTTTTTCTTGTTTCGAATTTTATACGTTTTATCTGTACCCTTAATTTTATAGTAAAAAAATAATAACAAAACATCCTTTTCTAGTCATCAGGCATCTGCCCGCCGCCAGGAAAATGCACCAACGTTATGGGTTCCTACGTGTGCACCTGCCCTGACGGTTACGAACTGAGCTCGATCACCGGGGTGTGCGAGGACGTGGACGAGTGCGTCGTCAATCCGGGCATATGCGAGTTTGGCACCTGCACCAACACGGACGGGGACGCCTTCTGCACCTGCCCCGACGGCTACATCCTCGAGCAGCACACCATGCGGTGCATAGACGTGAGACAGGAGCAGTGCTTCGACATTTACAACAGGGGTCAGTGCCTGGAACCCCGCGGAATGAGCATGACGGCTAAGGAGTGCTGCTGCTCGAAGGCGCAGGCCTGGGGGAAATACTGTGAGAGATGTCCCACGGAAGGTTCGCGTAAGTATAGAGTTAGTAAAAAAAAAAATTTTTACCAGGATGAGAATGACCTTTCCTTTTAGCTGATTTCCTGAAGATGTGTCCCGAGGGCCCAGGTAGGATGGACACCGGCAGCGACTTGAACGAGTGCGAACTGATGCCGAACGTGTGCGACGGAGGCGAATGTATCAATACGGACGGCTCGTTCCGCTGCGTCTGTCCGTCCGGATTCGTCCTGGATAACACGGGGAAGAAATGCGTTGATGACAACGAGTGTGTCAGTACCCCAAACGTTTGCGGAAACGGTACTTGCACGAATGTTCTTGGTGGTTTCGAGTGTAGCTGCAACGACGGATGGGCTTCTGGATCTCTACAAGTTAGTAAATTAACACTTTTGAACTTGTTTTAGAGTGAAGATAAACCTTTTTTTATTATCTTGTACAAATATGATTCATTTTCTCTTTAATTCTATTTGTTTTGTGTCATTTTCCGCGAATATAGGTTATGTGAGGTTAAGTCCGTATATAACCTCACATAACCTACAAATTTCAAAACGTTTCAGACATGCGAAGATGTCAACGAGTGCCACGAAATAGGCAATCAATGTGCGTTTAGGTGTCACAACGTCCCCGGATCATTTAGATGCATCTGCCCGTACGGCTACGCTTTAGCTCCAGATGGAAGGCACTGCACGGGTATGTTTAACAGTAAAATTACCCAATGATCCAATGTCATAGCGTCATTCTTTCAGATGTCGACGAGTGCAACACCCCGGCGAACAACTGCAAGTTTATGTGCAAGAACCTGATCGGCTCGTTTATGTGCATCTGTCCGGAAGGGTACTCCCAGATCGGCCTTTCGGACGACTGTCGAGACATCGACGAGTGCCTGGAAAATCCCAACTTGTGTAATAATGGACGTTGCGTAAATTTGCAGGGCTCTTACAGGTGTGACTGCTTTGAAGGATTCGAACACAGCTCGGATAGGAAGCGTTGCATTGGTATGTCTTTATTTTTTTTATTTAAATTGTGCGCTACTGAGGAGATTTTCGTTGAGGAAACCTAAGTGACTTTTTATAAAAAAACGAGCTCGTATGAAATATAAGAATTCAAATTCTAAAGATTTGATATTCTAGACTAAGATCTGTTTGCAAAACATTGTCCCGTAATGCATATCAATTAAATCCAGATATTTTTACAAACTAATGTAAAATTTTGTAAATGTTTGTATAATTCTAAGGGAAAAATAATAATTTCCTATTAACAGTAATATTTCACTTAATAATTTTATTTTATTGTACTTGTTCTCTTTACTATCTGCATTCGCTTTGATTCACTGTAATTTTATTTAAAAAAAAAAAATGGTCTCTGGCCGCTCTGGCTCATAAATAAATATTCCTAGTTTCGTAATTATTTCAGATAGGAGACAGGGTATGTGCTATAGACAGCTGATAAACGGCAGGTGCAGGACCCCGTACAATGAACTGAAGAAAGCCTCCAAGGCAGACTGTTGCTGCTCTATGGGAGAAGCCTGGGGGCCTCAGTGCGAACTGTGCCCAGCCAGGTTCTCTCCGCAGTATCAGGAATTGTGCTTGGACAGCGGGTTCCTGATCGACGGACAAGGTACGTGCAATTATAAACTTTTCAGGTGCAAATAGGATGGACGTTTAGTGTATATCAAAATTAATTTCGAGTCTATTGCAGATAAGTTATACTGCGAAGTAACGTCTGCTCTTTATGATGGACTTCCTCTAATCTAAAAATTAGAGATGCACGCTTTAAGTACTATTCTATACAGACAGTCCTCCGTACTTACGGCATTTTCAGTTCTCAAAATTGTAAATCGAGATGACATAAGTCGATACATTTTTTTCATCCAGGACAGGATGTTTGTAAATAAGTAGGGGGTGGTTGCCAAAGTTATTTTGTGAAAAAAAGCTCATAAGTCGTTCTTTTCCGAGATACAGAGTGTTTAAATTTAAATTTTTTATTTATTTTTATTAATTATTTCAGAGAGTTTTAAAGATATTGACTCCTAATTTGAAAACCGCTTTGGAGGGATAAATGTGCATTTTTTGGGGTGATTTTTATGTATTTTAATAGTCGCAAACCTACAACAGCTGTTGAAAATGATCTCTCTCACAAATGATACAAGAGTCAACTCGTATTCGCGGAAATATTCCTACTGTATTTCTTATTGTTTCACACCCGACTATAATTCGATTCCTCAGGTCTTCAACATTTTCAAATTTCAGGTCAATATCTTTAAAACTGAAATAATTAATAAAAAAAAATAAAAAATTTAAATTTAAACACTATCTCGGAAACAAAGCATATTTCACTTTATTTCACAAAATAACTTTGGGCAACCACCCCCTGAAATATTTCGCACTTATTTACAAACACCCTGTATAAAAGAGTTATGTTCTATCAGAACATAATGTAAAAGAACAACATAATAATATTAAACAATCATACTTTATATAACAAACCATATATTTGGTACATACTTATTTCACAATTGAAAAAATAGAAAGAACCATATTAAACCCTAAATCATTGGTTTAAACAAATGTATCAATTCGAGGTTGTTTCATACATTTCTCGATAACACTGACACGAAGTAATAATTGTGTTATTAACATTAAAATGTTTCAAAATTTGAATCATGTTCCTTAAAAATATTGTGAAATAGCCCATGACGTATTTCGGAACCATTGACGTTAGATTGATTGATGACTGGTGTTAAAATATTGTTCGACACAATTCGAAATGACAAGTTGAAACGACGTAACTCGAGGACTGCCTGCATTGTTACAATACCCATCTCTTTTGATTGAAAACAGTCATCACAATATTCAATATCAGGATATCAAATTTCTTTGTCGTCTATTCCAATTTTTATCTAAAGAGACATTAATTTTATTGCCCCATTATGAGGTCACCTCTGCTGTCTATGACAGTGCGCTAGTCTAAATATTAGAGATGCGCGCGTTAAATACAATTATGGCACCAAAAAAATGTACTTTGCCTGCCCTGAATAATGATATATTTTCTAGACGTAAATGAATGCGAGACTATTCCCGACCTCTGCCAGAATGGTCAGTGTATCAACACCTTGGGATCGTACAGGTGTATTTGTAACAAGGGGTACAAGCTGGACAATTCCGGTTTGTACTGTTTAGGTACGTTTTGACACGACCGTCATGCGATATCATGCTCGATTTCATAATAATTTTTAGACATCAACGAATGTCTACACAACGTCTCCCACTGCCAGTACAACTGCCAGAACACCGAGGGAAGTTTCATCTGTTCGTGTCCTTACGGGTTCCTCCTCAATCCGGACGGTTTGACTTGCCGCGACTTGGACGAGTGTGCCACGGGACAGCACATTTGCCAGCAGAAGTGTATCAATACCGAGGGAAGCTACAAGTGCGGATGCGAGGAGGGGTATAGTCAGATCGGGGATCGATGCCAAGGTTAGGACACGTTTATACCGGAATTGACAATTGATCAAAAACATTTGAGAGTTCTAGGTTTTGTGTTATAATTTTTTTTTAGATATAAATGAGTGTGATGAAGTGGGCATCTGTCCCAAGCCGGGCAGGTGCGTGAACACACTGGGCAGCTTCAGGTGTATCTGTCCGAGAGGTTTCAAACTGTCGACGTCGGGAACTTATTGTTTGGATTCTGACGAGTGCGAGGACGACTCCAAGTGTACGGAAGGCTGTCAAAACTTAGTGGGAGGGTACAGGTGACTGAATTAGTGGATGAAATTTAAAAATTTTTGATTAGGTGGAAATTTTTTTGAAATGTGACAGATTTTACTTTACCAGTAAATACAATGATTCTGATTTTAATGCCCCATATTTCAAAAACACAATGTTCTACAGACATATCCTATGAAACTTTTTACTTAAAATCATTTTTTCAATTATCTAATGAAATTAGCGTCTGCTCCCACAGAGCTTAGCCCGAGAACAACAAGGACAGGTGAAAGATTCCTAGTTAAAGCTAAGGAAGTAAAAAGTAAATCTGTTATTGGCGCATAACAAACCTTAACCATTGTACTAAACTAACGCAAAAAATTAAAGGGTCAAAAAAATTTCTGAAATTTTTACGTGATTTTTGACAGATTCTATTTAGGTGAAAAATGGTCGTATCAGGAATTAAAAAAAGCATTTTGAAGCTCTAAGATTCTAGTTTTTATATCTTTTGGCCGAAATTTTTTAGGAGCGACGGTTATTATGCAATTCTAAGAAATAGCATGACAAAAAATGTTTGCAAATTTTCTTTTTTTTTCGGACTTTTAATGGAAAAGGGTTTGTGTTCAATCATCGATATCTCAGCGTCAAATGGTCGTACAGAGAATTGAAGGGCGCTTCCGAAAACTGGAATAAATTTCCTATAACATGTTGCGGCAACTTTTGAGAAAAAAAAATTTTTTTCATCTGTTACACGAATTTTAAAAAACAAGAAAAAAAGGGTTTTTTAGAAAATTGACGGCTAAGTTAGATATATTCACGAAGTGACTATTTCATTTTTACCGCAAATAACGTTTAAATTGACAAAAATAAAAAATTGAAATTTTTTTCAGAGAAGGATAGTTTTTTAAAAAGCCGAATAGTGCTGGAAACAATTGGATTTTGTTTTCTTCAATGTCCGGAGGGTTTTCCAATAAAACAAAAGAAAACTTCGAAAAATTTTGAAAATTTTATTATTTTTTTTACATCAATTTAAACGTTAATTGCAGTAAAAATGTAAAATAACCTAAAACAATTTTTTTTCCATTTTTAATCATGATTATGAAGTGTTTAAGCTCAAAAACACTACCCTTTAATTTTTTTCAAAAGTTTGACTGTTTCAAACAAAGAAACGGTTTGCTAGATCGAGATGAAACTTCACAGGGTTCTTTTGGATATATCGAACTGTAAAAGTCACGCTTAATATTATTCATTTCGCAAATATTTTTAATTTAGCCGTCAATTTTCTAAAAACCATAAATTACTCTTTTTTCCTGTTTTTAAAAATTCGTGTAAAAGATGAAAAAAAAAATGTTCCGAAAAGTTGCGGCAGCATGTTATAAGAAATTATTCCAATTTTTGAAACTGCCCTTCAATTCTCTGTACGACCATTTGTCGCCGAGATATCGATGATTGACAAAAGGATCCTTTTCCATTAAAAGTCCGATATTTCGATGAAAAATGGTCGTATCGAAATTTAAAAAAAAAAAGGAAATTGAAGCTGAATAAACAAGCTATCTGGTCCATGCAATGGCTTAGCTGAAAAAAATTGTTTCAAGTCCTTGGACTCGGAAAAAAAAGAAAATTTGCAAAATTTTTTTTGTCACACTATTTCTTAGAATTGCATGATAACCATCGCTCTTAAAAAATTTTGACCAAAAGACCTAAAAACTGGAATCTTAGAGCTCAAAGTGCTTTTTTTTTAATTTTACACGTAAATACACTCAAAAATCACGTAAAAATTTAGGAAATTTTTTTGACCCCTTAATTTTTTCCATTAGTGCATAAAAAAATGAAATAAATAATATCCACGAGAACAAAAAGTTTTCAGTAAAAGAAAATTATTAGACAATATAAAAAAACATTGAAGAATTTTTGCTGTTGTATTTCTCTTGAAACTTGGGTCCGTTTACTTTTGTCCGTCTCTAAAAAAATATCGAAATTGGCCCGCCCTGTACATATCACTTTCCAGATGTGGCTGTCCAGAGGGGTATGTGCTCCACTACCACTTCAACCAGTGCGTGGACGAGAACGAGTGCCAGAACAACCCTTGCGGCAGCAGTGGCACCTGCTTCAACACCCCGGGAAGTTACCGCTGTGGGTGCCCGGAAGGATACCAGTTCGATCACAAACTCAACATCTGCATCCAGGTGAACCATCATTATAAAAATAAATCCCCTTTATTAACGGATTCCGTCGATTTTCAGGTGAGTGCAGGTTGCGCCAGCTCCCCCTGCGCCTTTGGATGCACCAGCATGGGCAGCTCCGGTTACACCTGCGGCTGTCCCCAAGGCTACCAACGCATCGGCCAAGGTCACTGCCTGTCCACCGTCACCCCCGCTTACACCGGGTACGCTCCCGATATCGGGGACGTTCCCACATTCCCCATCGACGACAGGTATGGGTCGGCCTCCAACGACAAGCTGATCACCACCGAGGGGTGCTTCTCGTGCAAGGTACGTGGAGATTTTTACTTTGACGAGTGTGTGTTAAAATATCGTTTTCAGGTTAACGGCAGGCACAGGAGAGCGTCGAAACACTCTCGTCTGGCGCGGACGTCATACAACGACACCATAAGTTACATATTCAAGAGGAACGCTTTGAGAAGGAGGATCAGGAGGCACCATCATGGTGAGGAGCTGGAGATCAAGATCGGCCTCTCGCAGACGAGGCACAGGACGAGGATAATAAAGCTGCAGCCGTCTGTTACGGTATGAGACAAAATTTCATTTGAATTTATTTTTAATACCTAGCAAATATCAAAAAAAAAACAGTTATCAACTTTTACGAAAAATTTTATTTTAATTTTTGAAACCTTGCAACTCTTTATTTATTAACATTTCATTTTGACGTGATTAGGTTAGGTTATGATTAGCTAAATATTTATTTTCATTCCTGCATATCCACAGCTAAGAATTGCATTTTTTATGATGAAGTTGCACATAAATGGCTTAGCATCAATTTTAAGAGGGCTCTATAACAAATAGACAACCAGCAATACACTTTTATAGATTTTATTACACAGTTTGTCTAAATATGAGTTAATGCACAAATAACAGACTTTCCCCCATTTTAATGCAGATTTTCTATAAAATGGAGTTAGTTTGGAACTCAAATTACTTTTTGGTGTAAAGAAATTTGTAATTTACGATGGTGCTTTTTCAAAAGCAGAAAATTACAAATTTCTTTACACCAAAAGTAATTTGAGTTCCAAACTAAGTCTATTTTATAGAAAATCTGCGTTAGAATGTAGGAAAGTCTGTTATTTGTGGATTAATTCATATTTAGACAAACTGTGTAATAAAAATCTATAAAAATGTATTGCTGGTTGCCTATTTACTATAGAACCATCTTAACTGGGGTTATACAAGGTGATTCAGAACTTATAAAAAAAAATTTTGGATGTACAGGGGACTCTTACAAATACAATTTTGTAAAGAAAAAATTGAAAAGGGCAGTTCGAAAATGATTTAAAAATACACTTCTGCACGGCACTGGCCCACTGTAAAACCTGACCTTGCCCAATGTGACCGGCATGGCGGCAAAGTGTGATAAAAACAGACAAAAACTTTCGCAAGGAAAGAAATAAATAGCACCTATTTTATATCAGCAAACTGCTTTTACCACTATTATTATTTATTAATTAATAATATTAATTTGTGGTTTTAAATAATAAAATCATTTGACATACCTAATGGTACAACAACTGTTCAAAATATTGGTCCGTCTTACTCAATTTCTACAAACTAACACAAATGTTCTTGCTTCACCATAATACAAAATGTTGTCTTACTTCACCATAAATAAAACGATATCCATCAACTCTACATTAACACTACACATTACGACACTAACTTGGTACTAAAAAACTATTGTAAACACCACAGATAACAGCTAAACACTAACGCAGCGACGATTGTAAAATCAGATTTCAGTATTCGGAGTTGCTGAGGCCACATGTATTGCGAATGACTACAGTTGTCCAGCTATGTAATGGTTGAATGTACTACAACTTCAATAATTTTTTTTTCAAAAATTATTAAGGATTCTACAAAATTTTTTTTTAAGATATTGACTCCATTTCTCCTGCCGCATCTATTCCCAAATTTTTTTGGATAAGTTGTGAATCACCCTGTATGTGCGAAGATGTCGGTAACTCTGAGTGAGTTCTAAATAAAAGCCAGACAGGAACATTAAAACCAAGTAAAATTGTGCATAAACGTGTCCCAATAATAATTATTTTCTATTACCATTTATACAGAACACTTGAAATTAATAACGTTTTTCTAGAAACTTGAAAATAAAATTACCAACTAACCTTTTAATTTCGATGAGATAACATGTTCGAAGTTATCACCATTGATTTCATTCACATGTGCTATCACTAGGAGTATTCACAACTCTGTGCATGCCAGAAGAGAAGGTTTTCCCTTATTATTGAAACGCACAGCGTTCTTTGAGCATTCACCTAATTCTTCCACAGTGGACCACTTCAGTCTTGTACACCAAACTTTTCGTGTTCAGCATGCACACGCAATGCTATGGCAGCATTTTGCTGACGTTTCCCGTATACTAATGTCATATAAATTCATCACTGCTGTAAATAAGGGCTAGTTTAATCATCAAAATTTTGTAGTGTGTCGTTTAAAGCCCAAAGCAGCACTATTTTTGAGTGGAAAATGAAAGTATGATAGATAACACCACACAAGAAAAATTTGTCTGTACTTTTCATGCGACATATGTTATCTGTAGTATTTTTGCCTCCTGATCACGAATCCGGTGTCAGAATTGAGCTATCACATCACAGGAATTTCCTAACCTCAAAAAACAGGTCAAAAATAGCAAAAATTCCCGAAAAAGTGTTAGGAAAAATACAACATTTTTTTTTCTATTTTCAAATATTCGTTCATATGGTTAAGACTCCGCCGAACGTAAATCCGTGGTCAAAATTGATGGTTCTTTTTCTAACTTCAAAAAAACAGGTCAATTAAGGTTAGATATCACGAATTTTCAAAAAATAACAGATTCGTGCCAAATTTGGGATACGGGGGTATTCGGTGTCAAGATAACGGATCCGAGATCAATTTTGCAAAATTCAAGATGGCGGATCCAAGATGGCCGACCAAATTTACAAAAAATAACCCATTCGCGCTAAATTTGGTATACGGGGTTTTCGGGGTCGCTGATCCGATGTCAATTTTGCAAAATTCAAGATGGCGAATCCAAGGCGGCCAACCAATTTTAAAAAAATAACATTTGCCTCAAATTTGGTGTACGGGGGTTTTCGGGGTCGCTGATTACGAATTCGAGGTCAGAATTGCGAAATTCATTTTGTTTAGTTTAATTTTTGTTTAGTTTATAACCTGAGTACCCAATCATGTTTTAACCTTCTTAAAGTACATAGGCAATTGATTAAAATTTTAAAAACGAATTTTGTAAATTTGATCTCGGATTCGTGATCAGTGACCTCGAAAACCTCCGTATACCAAATTTGGCACGAATCTGTTATTTTTTGAAAATTTGGTCGGCCATCTTGGATCCGCCATCTTGAATTTTGCAAAATTGACCCCGGATCCGTGATCAGCGACCCCGAAAACCCTCGTATACCAAAGAGTGAACTAAAGAAAATAGATAAAAATATGTTTTTTGTCTCAAATTACTGGTCGTAATAAATTAAGATGGGTATAGCTCTTAATTTTTTTAAAATTTTCAAAAATCACCCCGACTTAGGGATTGAAAAGAAGCCCAAAATGAAGAATTGAAAATTACCTTTAAATATAAAAACTATTAGCATTGAATTTTTCTATTGAATGATTCTTGATACAAAGAAAGATTTATTCTCATGACTGAAATAAGCATGTTGAATTAGAAAATCCGCCCTTAAGCGCGCTCAGGGGGCGAAATCATCCCCAAAAATAGAGAATATCAGAAATACTTAATTATTGTAAAAATTCTAAAAAATATATGTTAAGATAATTCATTCGATAGAATAATTCACATGCTAATAGTTTTTATATCAATTTGTAATATTCAAATTCTTAATTTTTGGCATTTTTAAAATTTTCAAAATACTAAAAGCTATGCTCATTTCAGTTTTTTACAAGTAATTTGCTATCAAAAACATATTTTTATGTTTTTTTAATTCTCTGCGAATTGCGAAAAGACGGGGGAAAATCACAGGTTTTTTGCTGTCACTCTTTGGCGCGAATCTGTTATTTTTTGAAAATTCGTGATATCTGACCTTAATTGATCCGGTTTTTAGGTTAGAAAAAGATTAATCAATTCTGACCGCGGATTCATGTTCGGCAGGGTCTTAATAAATGAACATGTGAATATAGAAAAAAAAATTTTTGTACTTTTCCTAGCACTTTTTCGTGAATTTTTGCTATTTCTGACCTATTTTTTGAAGTTAGGAAATTCCTGTGATGTGATAGCTCAATTCTGACACCGGATTCAAGATCAGGAGGCAAATATACTACAGATAACATATGTCGCATGAAAAGTACAGACAACTTTTTTTGTGTGTAATGTAACAAAATCCTAATTTTTCATTGAACTACTAACTATAATGATAGGAATTTATTGTTTTTTACTTTTATTTGTATGTTAAAACGTGATTCCTTACAGAGAGAGATGTTATACACGATAGTGAGGGGTAACGAGAACAACAAGTTCGAACTAGTCAAGAAGCACGGGGTCTGGGCCCTCCACTTCCGTAGGAGGTTGAAAGAGCCTGGCGCCTTCGATCTGGTGATCCACGGAAGGCCCGAGGACGCTTCCAGCGCCGAGAACGGGATCTACGAGAAACCCCTAACCTTGAGAGTACGAATCGTGGTGACGGAGTAAACTCGATAGCCGTTCCGACGTTTAGTCTAATTTGGAGATCCTTAACGGGAAAATGAGCAAAATTCTAACATTACAATTTTTTTTAACCATTGGCGTTTTTTGTGATATAAAATACATTGCCATACCGCGAGGAAGCCATCACTGCCGAAATTCTCCAATGTGTTCTCCCTAGGTGGCAGGATTATTTTTGTACCGACGGTTCAGCGCTTCGCCGCCGAAGCACGTCTCTTTTTCGTTATTTAAATTTAATTTTCCGACGGATTGTGTTCAGTAAGAGACGAGGCGGATCGAAGAACCGTGTTTTTAATACAATTTTTTATATAGCCCACTAATAAGAGTAAAAGATTGTAACGGTTTTCAAGTATTATAGAGTTATTATCGTAACGGCCAAATATGATTTTACGGAACATATATGGATATATATATTTATGTTTATTTGTATAGATAGGTATTTAATTTTAATTAGTTACCTAAAGTTTTAATTATGATTATCGTTTCTTTGTAATATATTTGCTTTTAAATAATAAAAATATTTGCAATAAAACTGTACTCGTTTTTTTTCCTCCTGTCTCTGAGGACGTCGTAAAAGTGCATTAAAGACAGAAAGTTACAGTTTTTATGAACATCGGACACTTTAAGAGAAATTGTCAGGTAAGAACAGTTTTTTTTTTAGTTTTTGAGTTATAAGCAAAAAATAAATGTGACCCCTGTACTGGCGATAATTAGACTTTATAAAGAATCGAGTCGCATACATAATTAATTTTTTCTTAACTCTTACAAACCATTTATATTTTTTTCATGGAAACTATCGTGGGCATAGCTAGAATGTTTGCTTGCAGTGGGCCCAGGGCTGCCGGTTCTTTGGAGGCCTCTAAAATAAAAAAAAAGCTCGTAATCAGCGACTTGCCAATATAAAATTTCAAAAAAGTCCCACAGTCGGCGACTTGCCGATATGCCGATATGACTACGACGAGTAATATGAGACAAAAAAATAAAAAATATTAGATCTTTTTTCTGGGGTGGGCCGTGCACATTCCTGCTCCCCCTAGCTACGCCCATGGAAACTATACTTGCCCGTAGCCTAGTTAAAAATATAGTGTGCTTGAGAATTAGGCCAGGTCGGATCTGTCAAAATATCATTGGAAAGTTTCGAAAATGGGAACTTTCCGGAAAGGGAAGAATCCCTTTCAGGGAACATTTCCATATTTTGAATTTCCCACCAAATTATAACTAGATGACCACCTTAGAAATTGTTGTATTATCTGTTAAAGTCAAGTACCTACTTGTAAAGTCAAAAAATAAGTCTATAATATAATTAATTATAATCATTAATGTTCCACAACTTACAATAAATATATACACATGTTCAAAAAAAAAGCAAAAAACATCTGCAAGTGGTGGAAAATATTTCTGGGCAACTTCCCTTGAAAATATTTCCATGGAACGTTTCCAAGATAATATTCCCTGGGATTATTCGCGGGAAACATTTCGCAACATTCTCGAAATATATTTTGGGAATATTTCTAAAAAAATATCTTCCCGGGAATTTCCCATCTCTAAAAATTTTAAAAATACCTATTTTATCTGAGTTTTTTTGTTTATGTTGTCTATGCCGCTTCAATTTCTTGGTCCATTTCTCTTATAAGTAAACAATATAAAAACAGCATTTCAAAACATGAGGCTACTTTAAGCATCATAACCGGGTTAAGAGGGTTTTTAGTAATTCAAATAAAATTATTCAATATTATTATCAAAATATTTATTTAAATTTAATGAATAGACTTTTATTCCACACAAAAATATATGTATTTTGAAAATTCAAATTATGGTGAGTAAATGTAGTGTTGTATAAATGTACAATAAAGAAAATAAAAAAGTAGGTATATTAAAATTCATCCTCTGAATATTCTGATGAATTATCTTCGTCTCCTAGATTGATAACGATAGGTTCCACAGTAACGTCAATTAAATTATCGAGTTCCCACATTTTCTCCTCTTCTTTTTGTACATGATGTATACATCTTTGCCAGTTATCTGCAGTTACTCGTTCCAAGGAATTTTTTAACAAAATTTTCACGTCACTTAATTTAAACGTCGTATTATTTCGCGCTACATCTCCTTTTACCTGCGCCCAGACTAATTCGATTGGGTTAAGTTCACAGTGATAAGGTGGTAACCGTAGTACCGTTATTTGGCGATTTGTTGCCATTTCATCGATAACATATTTTTTCTGATCTTTATTAAGATTGACAAGTGTCAAAAGTTCCTTTTTCACCATATTTGTTTCAAAAGAAATGTTTTTTCCGGATAACCATTGAATTATATCGGCTTTCCTCCAAGCAGTCGTAGGCGTCCGCTCGGTCTGCCGTGAATGGTAACTGGCATTATCCATGACAATTACAGACCCCGGAGGAATAAGATCCAACATCTGTGTAAAATACTCTTCGAAAACATCTGCGTTCATGTCTTCGTGATAGTCACCTGTATTTTTAGATTCAAATAAAAGTAAACCGCCATCTACAAAACCACTGGCACTACCTATATGTGTCACTATTAATCTTCGCCCTTTACCTGAAGGTGCCTTGAACCCTGTTGAAAGTCCATCCAAAAATGCTTGTCGAAAACTTTTTACATTTTTATCTTGCCATACTTTTGTTACAGTATATCCCTCGTTGACCCAAGTTTCGTCTAGATAATAAATATTCCTCCCTTCGTCACGGAATTTTCTAATTGATCTTAAGTAGGATCTTCGCCAACAAATAATTTCATCTTTATCGATAAGAACTGACTTCCTGTTCTGCTTTTCCCAGCAAAAATTCAACTCTCGTAAGACGGCCCATAATTTGCTTCTACTGATTTTTGGCAAATCGTTGTCCTCTGAAAGTTCACTTAAAATTTTGTTTAGCGTTGGTATTTCTTTTTTAAAATAAAATGAGTGTACTTTTCTGCGAATGACATTTTTGAAGAAATCATCTATAACGACTTTTGACCTCCCTGTAGATGATTTTGGGGGATTTACAGTATCTTGTTCATTTTTTGTTTCCTTTAAAAGTCTGTAGATAGTCGATTTTCCAATCCCTGTCATTTTTGTTAGCATTAGTGTTACCCGATAATTACCTGAAACGAAATATTACCACGCCCATGGCCGGTTCTTATCTCGGGCTTTTATTACTCTCTTTCATTTCCAAACAGACTACAGCGATGTCGCAAATTAGCAATAATTAATGAAAAAAGCAAAAAAAATCAAGTTTTTTGGATAATTTTTTTAAAACGCTTTAATTGCTAGGGCATTCTAATTTTGGTAAAAAAGATGATATAGTATAATAAAACAACACACCAAATTTCATTAAAATCGGATCGATAGTTTTCGCAAAATAATTTTTTGAAAAAAATTTAGAAAAAAAATTTTCGCTATAAATAGTGTTGTCAATATTGTAATTATTCGTTACTCAGTAATCATTACTTGGTACGATCCGAACATAGGATCCACAGGCTACCAATTACCAGTATCAGTCCCAGTTGGTAATCTGTGATAGGATCCAAAGTAATATTAGAGCATATGTACTACATAGAGGAAGAACGCTTACGGCAACAGTGAACACAAGTCAGTGAACTACACAGGATGTTTCTTAAGTAGAGGTCAAAAATCAAGGAACGTATTCTGTGGCCAAAAATAAGGGTTTTTTATTATATATCTGTATATGTGGGATCTTAGGACAGCCATTGTCCAGCTACAGCAGCGGTATTCAAACTGTGTTCCTTGGAACCCTGGGGTTCCCCACAACCTCTCTGGGGGATTCAAAATTTTGAAATTATCAATATCGACACCACAAAATAAAAAAAACTATAGTCTTACATAAACTTAAAACTTTTTATTTTTAAAAGTACATGCGTATGTTACTATAGGTGCTTAACAAGAAAGAATTATATTTATGCAAGTGCAATTACCCAATAAATATTACTTTAAACTTTAAAGTCTTAGTTCAATTTTTACTTACTGGACTATTTATTTTGTTAATTGTAATATTTATAAATATATAATATAATCAGTAAAAAATGTGTTTGAAAATTATTTTAGGTACCTATGATCGAAATGTTGGCCGGTTTCCGCAAGTCGTAAAAGTTTGAGACCGCTGAGCTACAGAGTATCAAATATTAAAAAAAAAAATTAAAAAAAAAAAGTTTTTAATTTTTAATTTCTAAACCGCTTGAGATAATTTAACCAAATTCGGTGCGCATATTTAGTATGACAGTAGGTATGAAAAAAAGTGCTGCAGCTCAGTACACTGAGCTACCCTCCAAACTATTCCAGAATCCAGAATTGTATAGTACTCGTTACACGATTATTTATTCTTCATATCCCCTGGCCCTAGTACTCGCGGTTACTTAAAAGTAACTGGATTTGACACCACTACATTTAAACAGAAGGTTTTGTCGTAGAAAGCTTCTAAAATCGCATATGTTTCAAATCCATCGAATATTTTCAATACAAATATGTATAGTCTTTCCGGAGTGAGTTGAACATGTATAAAAAACCGAGCAATCAAATTTAATGAGTTTCATAGGCGCCCCAAAAAAAGTTTTCTGCTAAAGGTAAAAAATTATAATAATTTGTATATAATGTGTAGATAATTTCTATTATACCTATGTTCATTTGACCAACAACATATTTTAATTATTTATGTCTTCAAACAATTTTATTATATTGATGGTATATTTCGTTTTGTTCCGTTTCAAAATGTCTTCAAAATGCCATGTTGTAATAATATTATTTCTCCCTTTCGCAATTGTAATATGAATGATTAATAGTAAGTGCCTATAATAAATTAAAATTACCTGAATCACACCAAATTCCGCAGTGCTGCACTGCACTGCCAGGCGACTTGTCGACAACTGAAATTTATGACGCAGAGCAACAGTGCGTATTGCTGTTTACCCGCACGCTCAGTCTTCAACTGGGCGTATACATTTCTACCACCTGCACGTTTAGTTCGACCAGACCTGTATATGGGTATGGCTAAATATTTATTTAGTGGGACCAAGTTTTTCAAATACTTCAATGCCGAATTGCTGCGTCAACGACCGAACCTGGTAAATAGTGTCATCCTCTTGGTTCTTCAATTGATATCGGAAAGACTATACATGGCAGACCGCTTCATGATTCGTAGCCACCCTGCGAAAAAATACAAAATTTCGCGGATATTTCGAATCCGCCACTTGAGGTTCCAACAACAACGCGATCGGTCTCCTACCAGGTCAGAAACCCTTGCCACATTATGCGCCAGACCAATATAAAATTTCGCGGATGTTTCGAGATTTCCACAAGATGCTCCGTGGGCCATGCCAGCGACGTGCAATGGTCCTCTACAACGATGTCTACGAGGCAAATGACGATCATTTCACACGCACGACGAAAACGGGGAACAATCAATCAAGAAAATTACCGATGTTTCCAATTTTCGATCGTCGAGTCCCTATGACGAACGGAAGCTTCCTAGACGTTCACACTGCGTCGGAGGGTGGCGACGACGAATATTGAGGCTTTCCCCGCATTCACTGATGTGAGACGGAGGAAACAAAAATTTCGCTGACCTTTCCAAAACTTCACATGACGGATCGATTCCAAACGACAGGCCTCTAGGTCTTTTGTGTGATCTGTGCTAATTATGTATAGTTTCAGGCTCAGGCCACTAGCTACCACGACATAGCCAGACACGCAGAAGGCCAACGTCAGTGTTGTTGTTGTTTCACTCAATACAGTTGTTTGAAATCACTGCAACCGACTCTTTTTCAGTACATCGGTACATTCATTCTCAATTTCAGTACATTGTAAACGTAAACCATCATTTTTTGACTGATTTATTGTTGAAATTTTTTAATAAACTATTTCTAATTACTGTGACTGTACCAATATTTAACAGTTGGTTCAGATTTAATGTTTTCTGGCTAGGTAACTATAGTAGGATCGTATTCGATGCAAAGTAGAGCAAAAAGTTGTCGGTCTTTTACCAAAGGAAAATCGTGTCATCATTTGTAGGAGGCGTAAGATAAATAATTTCAAATTTAAAATGAAATTGAATGTAAAATCTGAAATACCGCTGCATACGCACTGTGTTCTGGTAGTAGCTGTAGTCGCCCAGGTGCATCGAGTGTACGAACTGGTCGGTTATACGTCAAATACTAACCTGGCGAGCTTTGCCGTCAATTAGAGAGCGCTTCCAAAAAACAAGTAAACAACACTGGCGCGTACAGAGGTAAAATGTAGTACATATGTGGAATTTAGGAAACAAATTGGATTTATAATAAATTACATTTAAAATAAATAGTTTATGAGAATAAAGGAATTTTTGTAGGAACAAGGGTGCCAGACCTGAACTGATCCCCTCGTCCCTTCATAATGTATAAAGAAATTATTCAATTTGTAAAATCCTTAAAAGCGTACTTCATTGGTTCCCTTGACAGGCAATGATTTATTACTTTGCATCGAATATGATCCTACTATAGTATTTGGAGAAATTTCAATTTTCAAATTTCAAAAAGCTGCGCTCGCTCGAACTCAAACGCTATATTCGTTTAGCAAAACTTTGCTTTTCTAAACTTGTTGTTTAATATACTAAACTAAACTTTTTAACTAGGCCATGACTAACTATGTTTTCCTTTAAAAAAAGTATACTTTTCGTCTGTCAATTAAAAAGACTTATAATTCTGCAAACTAAACAAAACATAAGAAATGTGTCAACGATTCAGAAAAATGTCCAATTGTAATATAAAATATATCGAGAAGAAATCTCTTTTAACCTGAAGATTTCAACTTTCTATCTTTAATAATGACCGAGATAGGATGCACTGTACAAGAAAAATAATTTCTTTACGGTGACTTTTGAAATCATTTAGCCCGTAACAAATTTCGCCGTGTAACAAATAAAATTTAAACTGCTAATAATTAATGTCTCGTAATAACTGACTCATTTAATGCAATGAATGTTGTTTTAATTAAGAATTAAACAATGCAATCCCGATATTATAAAACATACATTCAAATATTGGTTTATTTTCTGTTTAATTAGCATTTGACTTTATTAGTGCTGCTCTGAATCAACAGTTTCGGTTATGTTTCTGTTGTAACCTCGTTATTTGTTAATAATTCAAGAGGATTTGCATTACATACATTTTATGGTGTTGCTGTAATCTAGTTTATTAAATACATAATGTGTGCGCGTCTATTTTATATTTAAAGGATGGCGTTTATTTAAATACCTAGTTAAAAAAAAATGCAATAGAAAATAAAATAGTATGTAAATATAAAGGCAAAGCAAGCCTGTTGCATATGCCAATGTTAATTACGAAACACAAATAGGGTGGCTTTCTTAAACCACAAAAAGAAATGGAAATAAAAATATTTTTTTAAATATGTTTGATGAAGGAATTTGTTAACTGTAATCGGTAATTTATTTGGTATTTTAATTTTAAATTGTATTTTGCATATCTGACATCACTAAACAAGAGATTAGGAAAAGTACTAACTACTAAATGTCTATACTGGCACCAGCTGTTAGCGATTTTTACCATTGTTCTACCACTGGTCGGTTTTCGATTAGATATGGATTCACTAATAGCCAGAGTTCTAACTCTACGGATTTATCTCAGATTTTCCGATAAATCTATGTATTTTTTATAGTTTTAAAACTATTAGCTTTCTTTATATAAAATATAAATTGTCTGCCAATTTACGTCTCTCGTCATGTCATCGATATTTTTAAATTTTTCGGTTCCTCTTTACGCAATGATCTATATACACCTTGTTTTAATAACACGAAAAATTGTGGACACTGAAACTTTAGTTAATATGTGAATTGTATCTATAATTTCACGATCTGATCATGTTCTTCCTTTGTAAATCTTTATTCTTAAATTCTAAATCTGTTTCAATAGCAACCGGTTCTACTAATTCAAAATTTTCTGGCGTATATTTCGTTTTGATCCGTTTCAAAAGGTCTCCAAAATTATTTGTTGTAATAATATTAGTAAACAAAATAACCCTTTTATTTCTCCCTTTCGCAATTGTAAATATAAGTGATTAATAGAAGGTGCCTATAATAAATTAAAATTACCCGAATCACACCAAATTCCGCATTGCTGCACTGCACTGCTAGGCAATTTGTCAACAACTGAAATTTATGGCCGGTCGCCCAGTGCGGCTGTGTGTGTGCGGCGTTTGTCCGCGCGCGCATTCTTGAACTGGACGACCAGACCTGTATATGGGTATGGCTAAATAATAAATGTTGCTTACCTTGCACTTAATACAAAATGATATTTTGTGTGTAGAAGTTATACTGAAAAAAAATAAATAAATAAAGAAATATATAAAATGTAAAATAGAACAAAATTCGTTTTGAGCTGTTTTTTTAACAGCTTCCCTTGTTTTAAAGGTTTAGTAGCAAGTTGTACGTACGGAATTCCTTAACAAATGGTCAATGAACGGCGATAAAAGGAAAAGAAAATAAGAACGCCTCAATAAATTGATACATTTACATTTTATTCACAGCAGAACTCAGTCACGGTAAAATAAATAATGCCTATATTTTGAGACACCCGATTTCCCAATGAACCTACGGGGAGCAGTCACAGCAAAAGTTAACCGCCTTCTCCTCCCACACCCACAGCTCCCTCAGCTCCCTAGGTAGACCGGAAGCGCCGGTTCTGGGGCCCTGCGCGGACGGCACGCACCTATCTCGCTTCCTTTTTAAAATTTTCACGGTGAAGGATCTCGGCCGGCACTTGTACATATTAAACCAGCAGCTCTCCGTCAAGCACTCCACTGATCTCAGATACCTCGGGAAATAATCGGGGCCCAGATCCGTCCATTTTATTCGTGATTTGCAGTGCCATTCTTGTAAATAATCCATGTCCCTCCTGTACCTGAAATTGAACGCCAAAAACGGGTGAGATGCGGACTTGTGTAGTATTTATATCCAATTTAGGATACTTTGCTATTTGGGGAGCTTACATAATGTTGCCCTAAATGATTGAAAAACAAGTTTACAATATTTTAAGTGTTAAAGTTATTCCGAAGTCAGTTGAACATGCATAAAAATACCGAGCAATCAAATTTAATGAGTTTCATGGGCGTCCCTAAAAAAGTTTTCTGCTAAAGGTAAAAAATTATAATAATTTGTATATAATGTGTAGAAAATTTCTATTATATGTTCATTTGACCAACAACATATTTTAATTATTTATGTCCTCAAACAATTTTATTATATTGATGGTAAATTTCGTTTTGTTCCATTTCAAAAGGTCTCCAAAATGCCATGTTGTAATAATATTAGTAAACCAAATATCCCTCTTATTTTTCCCTTTCGCAATTGTAATATGAATGATTAATAGAAGGGTGCCTATAATAAATTAAAATTATCTGAATCACACCAAATTCCGCATTCCCGCACTGCACTGCTAGGCGACTTGAATTTTATGACGCAATGGACCAGAGCAACACTGCACATTGCTCTTTGCCCGCACGCTCATTCTTCAACTGAGCGTATACATTTCTACCACCTGGACGTTTCGTTCGACCAGATCTGTATATGGGTATGGCTAAATAAATGTGGGAACAAGTTTTTCAAATATTTCAATGCCGAGTTGCTGCTTAGCACCGAGCCTGGTACATACCATGAAATTATTGGTTCTTCAATTGACTTCGGAAAAACTATACTATAGTGTTATCAAAATACAGGGTGTTTATTAAGTACTTGTACAAACTTAAAACAAAATATTTGTTTCAGCAATTATTGTAAATGTTATTAACTTATTTATAGAAGCAGTATAGTCATAGTCTTGTAAATGATATAAGTTTGTCACATACGCAATACAATCAATAAAAGACATATTTTTTTCACTTGTTTTTCAAAAATTCTTAATGATTCAGCTTACAAAAGTTCAACGCAGGTTTAATTTTACAAAACGGCTGCTTTCGGCGACAAATACTAAGAGTACCTTTTACACATAAAATTGAATGGAGAATAAGAAATGTTAGTCAAAAATGACATATAGTGCGGCACAAAAAAGTTATGGTTATTTAAATCCAGGTACAACACTGTATATTTGTATAATGGCGTCCTCTAACATTAAACAAAAAACTAAGTAAATATTTGAGTTTCTCATCCTCGATACTCCCAGTTTCCCGAATTTCGTCAAATTGCTATGTTACTGAACAAAATATAATCAAAATACAAAAAAAAAATTATGCTCTGTATCTCAAGAACCAAGCCGTTGCGGACCACTGGTCATATGACCTTTTTATCTTAAAATTACTCAAAGATTCACCCTTTAAAATACTTAATAAACACCCTAAATTATCAAGTAATACTTATGGTAAAAATATTGCAAAATGCTTTTGAAATGCGAATGCAAATATTTGATTTAATCTTTTCTGCATGATTAATGGAACTTTAAAAAATATCGCACAAGAAAGGTATTTTATAAACTAATTAGTTTAATACTAAAAAAAGTAATGTAAAATACTTTAAACCAACAATAGAATGATAAGTTTCAAGCTCGGTTTCAAGGGTTTGCGGATTGTATGAGTTGTACAGAATTAATTTTAATTGAGTTAATCGTAAGTTTTAAATCAAACTACGTGCAATATATCCTACATATACAGGGTGTCGCGCTTAAATGTGATACAAGCTTGTAATTTCTTTATTTTTTGGCCTATTTCAATCTGTTTTAATCCAGTGCTCGCCTGAAGATGTAACGAGTTGGATGAAACTTGGTGATAATACGTTTTAAGGGATGCTGAATAAGAATACGTAATCGGTTTTTTTGAAAAAAATCATCGCTAATACCAATTAGCTGTTCTGACGTCAACAAAACTCGTCCTAGTTGGCCGTGTATTGCATTAATAAAAACAGCAATGTCACAGTTAGATAGAATTCTTTTTACCCTACATTCCTCGTGGTTCACTACACACACTATTAAAATCGCAGTAAAAGCTAGGTTAATACCGAATAATACAGTAGGTCAAGATTCACTCTCGATAAACCTTTGTAGGTCAGTGGTCAGGAACGGTCCGAAAAGGGATTTAAATAATGATTTGAAAATACTTTTTTTCAGCGTAAATATGCATTTAAATTTTTTTTAAATCTCGTATTCGTATTATACTCATTTTCCCCTATCTTCCCTTAAAATTAATGACATTATGACTGAATTGCCCTCTATGTAACTAATAAACAAGTTAATTTTTTATCTCAAATATTTACCGCATAAATATGTATATCCACATATATAAATCGGATATTGAAATATTTATATTTAATAAATAAAAAAAATAACAGCTCTGTCAACAAGATTTGTATTTATTTAATAGCGCATAGTTGATAAAATTCAATATTTACATATAGAAGGTATCAACTTTGTTGCATTTTCAACAATTTTAATAAAAGTATATTTTTTGTGCGAACTACATAGCTGCTTAGGTGCCAAATTTTAATGTAATACATTGTTTTTTGAAAAACATATGGCTAAAGTTCTATTATAACAACGCTTTTTATCTTGAAATTCCGGTAAGTTTTTCCAAAAAAAAACCTGTTTAAAACAATTTAAATGTGTAGTTTTTCATGCTTGCCATCGTCTTTGCCTGTTAGTACGGTTTTGTTTGGGACGCCCTGTACATCTGTATAACGGGGTGCACAACGAAGGTAAAAAAAAAGAGTAAATTTTTAGATCGAAAACATAATGAGAAACAAAGGGTGTCACAAATTTATAGAAAAACCGGAGATAAATTGAACATAAAGCGGTGCTATATCTATCATCCTGTCGGCGTAAGCCAGGTCAGACTGGTGACAGGCCTCCGAGAGGATGGAACCTCATGGCACAGTGTCCCATATTCCACCTTTCTAGAGCTTGGCGGTTTACTTTATAAAAAAAATCGTTAATTTGAAATATTAGGTCGTGGCAGAACTAGCGGAAATCATAGCAGGCATATTATTGCCAACAACTAAATTTTATCTTATTTGAATTAAACACTGTACAGGGTGTTCGCGAAAGGTTAGGAAATCTCGAAGCTGAAGATACTGATGGCTAAAATAAATTAATTGAGATAAATGTCTTATGCAAATGTTGCTGGTTTCAAAGATATGCACAGAGTATTCAATGTTTGAATTTTATTTTGAAATTTTTGAATAATTTTGAAAACTGTTAGACTATGAACAAACAAATTGGCACTATTATGTTTTTTGACGTGATAAATAAGATTTTTTTTAACAAATTTTGGTGTTGCTTGTATAAAGGCGTCAGTTATGCCCTATTCCTTTGATAAATATGGGATTTTGTTTGTCTTTAGAATCAGGGACATCGTGTGTATCAAAAAAATGAAAGAAAGTCCTTCGTTTCATAAAAAAGTTACTCTTGTTCGTTTTCGATATCTCTCTTGGTAATCGAGATATTTGCATATACAAATTTCAATTTATTTCGTTTTTAAGCAACTATTAATCCTTAAATTAATGCGACTTCCCAACCTTTCGCAGACACCCTGTATAGTATAAGATAAATAATTCCAAAATTCATAACTTCTCTACCTGAAATTGTGACCTGTTTTGTATTCCTAAACATAAAACTAAAAAATTTGAACTGTCAGCGTACTATCAAGGAATAAAATTTTGTAATAAATTACCGACACTATATAAGATAATGGATATTAATAAATTTAAGAAATTGTTACTGATCAAATGTTATTACAGTATTAAAGATTTTAACGATGACAATCTGTAACTATGTATGTATTATCTGTTTGTTTGTCTTGATTTATGACCTGTCCTATACATGTAAATGTCTAAATGGATTAATAAATATTATTATTATTANAAACTTCTTCAAATATCTCAGGAACAACTTGGCCGATTTTGATAAAACTTGACACCTTCCTAGCAATAAATAAGGAATTTAATTTAATGCAATTAGATTTAAATTAGTTATTTCAGGGGTGGCACAGGGAAATCATAACTTGATATTTTAAAGGAAAAATTGACCACGCCACTGCTTTTTATAAGTTTCATATTATTTTCTGGTTGAATAATTAAAAATACATTTTTTTACCTCTTGCCTTTTTGGTCTAATTTGCTTACTTTTCGAGAAAAAAAAAGTAAAATTCGTTTACAGTACCACCCCCAAGGAATAATTAATTAATGATTAATCAATGCCCCAACGCCGGCTGCATCTGAAATAATTAAATTAAATCTAGCTGCATCAAATTACTTATTAATAAAAACCTTCATATGAACTTTTCTGCAAACAATAGTAAAAAATGTTCCATCTGCCCGCCTTGCAAAGTTATCATGTTTAAGATATTTAAGCATCTTTTTTTTTATAAAAAAATAAAATGTGAGCTGGGAAATATACCATTTATGTACGGAAAGATCTGTTTATGTATTCTGCTTATCGATATTCATAGACATATAAGATATACTATATTTATCTTAATGCTTGTCTAGTAATCTTTCTATGAAGAAATAGTTTGGCACAAATTTGAATTATATTAGGAATATTACAGAAATCTTTTTTATTCAAATTGTTTTCTAAATTTCACAAAATTTTTAGAAAGACTGAGTAAAAAATCTAAGTATGAAAACAAAAATATTTTGTGAAATCACCTTACAGGATGAGTATTATTTTTATCGGCTTACCTATTGTTGCTAAAGATATTCTTAGTTTCCTCTACATGATTAGTGACACTCCAAGCTGGTTGTTCGTCAGAATCGTCTTCATACTCACTGTCCACATAAAAGTCCAAATCATATCCAACTTTCCTTTTAAAGTTCTTGGACACCTCTAAAGAAGGCATGTCTATGCTCATATATCTAGCGTTGAAAGCTGCCCCTAAAGTCTCTTCTAGAATTACTTCGGATAATTCTGTACATGGTACCTAAAATTTATTTAATTTTAATAAATGATTGTAGTACCCAAATGCAGAAAGACAAAGACTTTCCTTTAAAAATGTGTTAAACATTAAATTAAATACAGTTGTCAATATCGAATTAAAAGATAGTATTTTTTAATTTATAAACCTTTTTGATTGCATTGCTCTTCTCAACTACGACTATGACTTCTCTGTACTAGTCTAACCCCTTTCATTATTTTATAATTGAGGTGGGTATGATGGAAAACTAATTTAGAACCCGTCTAAGCTAAATTGTTCAGAGAAAAAGATTTTGGAGCCGTTTTTATTCAAAACAAATTGAATCTTTTGATATATTTTGACAATTAAGTAGACTCAGCTTACAATAGAATTTGTGTTAAGAGGGTCTTTCAAAATATTTGAAAACGTAGTCCTGTTTAACCAAAAACAAATTGTGAAGAAATTCTAGTTACAGTCAAAGTAGCCCGAAAAATGCTTTTATATCGCGAGTTTTTGAATACATATATCCTGGTTTCACCATTCACCCAACATGTATTTCATTCACATTAATGGTAACTACATGTTATATTCAACGATAGAAATAAATAGAGGCTTTGCTGGTTTATTCACAGTTACAGATGTGCCCGCATGTACACATATTATTATTGGTTTAGGTATGCGGTTTCAATTAACAAATATTTATTACACTGCACCTTTTCATTACTATTTCTTTCAAATTATTGTGAGAGCCATTTTTTTTCATTATTCAATTGAAATAATAAAATATGTCTATATTTACAATTTGAAATGTTGATTTTTCTAGAAATGTGCCTACGAAATTTATTCTTATATTGAATTTACAGAATTTTCACAAAGCAATATTCTAAAAAGTCTAAAGGGCGATTCAGTCAACATGTCGTTAATTTTAATCACGTATTCAGAACTAATAATTTCGGCTAAGTATAACTTTAATTATTATTAACTATTGCAGTGAGTATTGAAGTGGAGAAGTCCGCGGATAGTATTTAATTTTTTTTTTATATATAATAATGCAAGTTCTTATTGTTATTCGTGAACTAAGCACGCTGATTTATTAATTGTTTAAGAAATATATCATTTAATTTTATTCCCAATTTAAAAATTACAGAAAATTAGTTTTATGTCTCTCAGTAATATTTCTATTAATGTTATTTCATAATCACGATCGCTAAATATGTATTCTAATCACTTTACATACCTTTCCTTGTTTGTCTAGCCTAGGCACACACATCACAGCAATTACATATAATAACAATAAATAAACATGGTTAATCATGGCTGATATGCATTCGCCACATTGTTGATAACGATAACATACCGCTTTACCTTTGCAACTGTTGTTTTCATTGTCATTAGTATCAGTTTAGGTTTCATTCCTCATCCCCTCTTTCGATGTTCTTCAGAAATTTTAATTAGGCTTCCCCTTAAATCCATTTATAATGATCCCAGGTAGTTATATGATGATGTCGTTAATTCTACCATAGTAAGGTAGAATTGTTATTCAGGTGTTTGTAGTGTGTTTATATTTTAATGAGCATACTTAAATCGTTTCAAAGAAGAAGGGTTATAAATGTTACAAGATGTTTCTCAATAGGATGAACTGTCAAGGTGATGCTTTGTGAGTGTCATAGTTAAGCTTAAGCATAATGGAATCATTTAAGTATTAGATGCATGATAGGCATAGCGGCTAATTGTTAATTTATGGGTAGTAAATATGCAAAAAGTTTGGAACATTTTTGGTGATCTATAAAATATTCTAATAGCGCTTTAAAAAAATTCTAGCTAAAGAGCTTTAATGAAATGGTATTTAATTTAATTACTTTAAAGAGTTGTTAATTATGACCACCACTTATATTTATCATGTTTGTGGGTTAACGTACAGGGTGTTTTATAAATCCATATCATAACTTCAACAGAAGGTTGTTCCTTGAGTGATTTTAGATTAAAAAGCTTTAAAAATATCATATTCGTTCAAATTTCTATAAAGATGTTTAAATAAGAAAGCTTGATTGGACAAATTATATAATTACGAGCAAAAATTCACCGCAGATCTGTTAACCAGTGGCGGGGACACTGAGGGATATTCTTTTTTTTAAATAAATATCCATCACTTTTTTTAGAAAAACGAGCCATTTTCAGTTGATATTATTTTATTTGTTTAACGAAAACTTATAAATTTGAATAAAGTATCACAAAAAGACGTATGTATAATACCTATATGAATTAAAAAAAAACTTATTTTTCGAATAAAGTGAAAGGTACCTTTCTTTATTTGAAACTGGATTCGGTTTTTGTGTTCGGCAAAGAGACCCAGAATTTTCGGCAAAAATGAGCCTCACCCGTAAAGAAAAAGGGGAAATTTAACTACATATATAATAGTATATTATACAGTGCCTTGTTTTTTACTGCAATTTCATATTATCTAAGTTATTTTTAAGAAAAAAAACTATAGGCTTTAATTGTATGTATTTTCGATACCAAAACTTCATTTCGGCAAATACGTTAATAAGTACTTACAAAAAATGGCCGGTCACTAATAAAAATTTAAGTTTAGGTATTCTAGCAAAATATTCCTCCATTTTTTCTTTAAATTCTTCCATTTTTTCCGGTTTTTCTAATCTTTTGCCTCGGAAAGAAACGAGTTTTTTTCGAGTTTTTTTTTCAGAATTGTTAAGTCCCTAGTTCGACAGATTCGACCTATTTTAATGGAACTTTTGGAAAATATCTGTACGTTTTTTTTTGCAAATTGTTTTCCTACATGTCCTACCTGTGAAGTTTTCTTTATGAATTAATATTTTTATTTAAATCATTCTCAGAATGTGACACTATAGTATTAGATCTTATTTATGGATTTAGAAATTATTCTCATTACTTCTAACTGATTGGAAACTAGTTTGTTGCTTTCTACGAACACTAAATTTATCAGCGTTGGTGATTTGCTGTTCCTCGAATGATATTACGCAAAGGCGCATGCGCCTAATGGTTTTTGATAGTTGCCAATCGCCCTTCGAATAAAGCAATGTATTCAATCAATGTGTATAATAAGCTTATTTTAGCATTAAAAAATAATAACTTAAAACTATACTACCGAAACGAAATACTCAGTGGCGTAAAAATTCTGACGTTCTTGATATTACAGTTTTTATAGAAATTTGAACCAATACATATGTACCAATTTTAGATAAAAAATCTCTGTAATTTTTTTTTTTTTGGAGACCTTTAACCCTCAAAGATCACACTAGTGCGAATTCGGCATTTCTCAGGCAGCAGCTGCCAAGGGTTCTCCCCACCAAGATAATTCCTTCTATAAGCCAAACAGTCAAGCCGTACCGCAGCTAGCCTCAGTATGTTATTGTCGGCCAAATTAGACAGTTTGAAAAGTCTGATCGGTGGGAATTCGCACTAGTGTGACTTCAGTGTGGGCAAAATTGTGGCTGAATTTGTATAGGTAATATAATCTAGATATAAAGTGAATTGAAATGCAAATTTTCAATTTTTTTCACCTCAGTTTACGTGTCAAAATGAATGAATTTTTTTCGAAAATGGTAAGTTTTATAAAAAAAGTAGTTCAGACAAAAATTATAGATCTTAAAATTATCTACCAAAAAGGTCCTTATACTTTTTTTCTGAGAATCACCATTCCTGATATGCATATACCTGCCACGTATATACATAGTCAGGCACTTAATACAAGTAAAAATGCCTATTTGTGTCTCTTATATGTATAAGCTATACTATCCTGAGAATATACACTCAAAAGAAACTGAGTCCCTTAGTCAAGCCCCTCTACCCGCATGGCCTTGAATAACATCCGGCTACTCTATTGTAAAAATTTTTGTAAAAAATACACAAAACAAGAAACAAGTACAACTATCTTGTCTTCCTCCAACATCGGCTTCTGCTAATCAACACTTGTATCGAGTATACTATCAAGTTCAGACATGGCTAGGCAATCAACTGAACCCAGAAGACTGGGGTTGGAAATTAACAGATAATACTTTGGAACCGATTCAAACTTTACTCCCACCTGCTCCGGAAAAACTCCTAAACACTATTTTTTGCAATTGCAAAAAAGGTTGTAGTGCTAAATGTGGCTGTAGAAGAGTAGGGTTACTGTGTTCTCCAGCGTGTACTAATTGCCAAAGCCAGTCTTGCTCAAATGTCCAATTGAATACAACAGACGAAGATTCATGTGATTTCGATGAAGAGACAGCTGATTCATCTTCATTTGAACAATTTATGAACATCCAGCAAGAAGAAGAGGAAGAAGAAGAAGAAATCGAAGAAGACATGACTGTTGAAGTCGACTTTGAAGAGTATGAATCAGATTAAAATATCAAAAGAAATCAGAACTACAGTTAAAGTCAATAACCAATATCAATATCAATAATCATCATACAGTTAAAAGAGTATTGTCCCTGAAAATTCCGTCATAACAGTTCGTGGAGTAGGCCTACCGGGGAAACCACGTTAAAAAAAACGCGTCAAAGTACACTACCTCACAGGTGGTGTGGAAATGTGTGCATATCATGTAGAACGTGACTCCTTCAACTATTAGAATCGCGATATCTCAGGAATGGTGATTCTTAGAAAAAAAAGTATAAGGACCATTTTTGTAGATAATTTTAAGATCTATAATTTTTGTCAGGGCTACTTTTTTGATAAAACTTACCGTTTTCGAAAAAAATCCAAAAAACCTCAAATTTTGACCTTTGACCCCGAATAACTTTTTTAGCACACATGGGATCGATGGGGACTTTTGACACTTTATTTCTAATGGTGTACCCAAGGTCTCCACCAAAATTTAGCTCTGTCTGAATTTTCGTTATTTGAAATGTCTATTTTGACCGGACTATTATGGATAATATTGTTTAAATTAATATTTTTATACAAAAGAGTGCAAAATAAACGTCAATTTACAGAAAATTGAAAAAAAATGTAAATTGAAAACTAATATATTTCGAAACAAATTTTTTTCACTTGCATTTTTTATTAACAAATTATTTTTTTTTCAAAACTAATTCTCGGAAAGTTTTACTCCAGTTTTGATATAACTATGTTGTTTTCGTCAACGAATAATGAAGACATAAAGATTCAAAGTTAGCAAAATCCCAATTCGCACTAGTGTGACCTGTAAGGTGATCCATCCCAAGTGTGACTTTTATGGGTTGATACCCTATACCTCGAAAACGGTTGGGATCTCAAAATAAGTTGCAGATAAATTACCATTAGTTTTCGTTGTTCTATATACTCCTGAACTATGACAGATTAAAACTGGGATATCCTGCATAGTAACCTTAACCAGGTAGCGCGAAAAAAACCCTTTATAACATTTTACGCTGGCACTTTTCACAATCCCATAAAAGAGTGTATTCGGTCATATTCCTTCTACGGCTTTCAATTAGTTCAAAGGGTGAAACACCGACTCCCGTACGACTGACCCAGGTGCCTCGGCAGCAACCCCTCGCGGTGGGCACCCCATGAAGTAGCGAAACCTCGCGCGGGCCAATATGGTAGAAGAGGGAACAAGTGGCGGGGATGAAACGGCACCGGCCGAAACTCCGCGGCAGTCGGAAAGTGTGCTCGCCGTTGTCAAGTTGCCGCGGCCGCTCTCCTCGATTCTCACGCACGCCGCCGAGTCACGCCTCCCACGGAGATGAGCACGACCCTCTTCGCAGACACCTAAGTCCGCCGCGAGGTTTGTGAAGTGTTTCAGTGGCCACGAATTCGGTTTCGCAGTGCTTCGAGTGTACCCTCACCCACGATGGATGACATCAACTTCGCCGCACAGTGTCTCCTGGAGATGTCCCACAGCAAGGACCACCTCAACCTGAACTTGAACCGCCCCCTGGACCTGTCCAAGTCCCTGATCCGCGAGGAAATCCTCTTCGTCAACCCCCCGGGCCCCGCCGTCATCGTGGAACAGATACCCATGGTACCGGCCACGTATCTCAAAGAGGAACCGGTCACCACCAACTCTACGGAGTCGTCCTCGTACATGGTGGCCCGCATCCTCACGGATTTGACCAGGTTGAAGCAGGAACCGGTGCCGGAAGTGCCGTCCGACGGTGAGGGCACCCTCACCATCGACGAAGATCCCGATGAGGGTTATAACAGCTTCAACACCACCCCCAACAAACCGGCTAGGAGTGCCGAGAAGGCCGCGACAAGCGCCAAGAGTCGCAAGAGCGACGCGGGGCCGCCCCCGAAGAAGTCCAACGCCCCCAGGACGCAGTCCTCGCCCAGGCTGGGAACCCAGGCCAGGAAAACGCACAAGTGTTCCTACGATGGCTGTCACAAGGTCTATGGGAAGAGCTCGCATCTGAAGGCTCACCTCAGGACGCATACAGGTTTGTTTGCGCTTTGTTTCCTTTGAATTTTACCTGAGCGCGTCAAACTCCGGATTCGTTGGCTAGAAAGCTGACGATTTGTTAGAAATTCTGACACAAGCGGTGGTAATTGTAGGAGTTTTCTTATCCTTGTTGCAGTTTTACACCAGTCAAAGAAATTGATACATTTGTTGTCCTTGAACTAATTGTTATGTGTAATAAGTACACAAAATTATCTTCGATTTATTGATTGCAATAAATTCATGAACAAAATGTACTAGCTCTAATTTTAAATTTTTTAGTGAATTCTAATTACATTCCGATTTAAAAATATAGTAAATCTTTAAACGTGATTTAAATTGGTCTTCTTGGTATTGACCATCTTGGAATTCTTTATCAACTACTGTTCAAATTGGCTTTTTCTCTTCGTTATAACCAAAGCCTTATCCACCAACACCATTTTGTCCCTGACATATCATTTTCTAATAGACATACAGGTATATAACCCTTATAATACAATATACATCATTCTCAGTCTCAGTACCGTTCTTGTTTAAATTTAAAAATCTCAAAAATGTATGAATTAAATCTTATATAACTGGCTGGAAAATTTGGCCGACACAAAGCATTCTATAGTTTATGCTTTGAAGTCGAGTTGTAAAAAAATTATAAGTCCTTTAAAATTACAATAATTTTTATTTCATATTTCTTTTATTATATATTTTTGTAAATTTTTTGGTTTTCTGTGGATTTTTGTTTACGTATCTATGGATCCAAAAAGCTACCAACATTGGTCGGAATTAAATCATCAGTCGCACCTCAGGTCACACCCACTGATTTTATGAAAGTCCGAGAATTGGAGCAGTGCAATCCAAAGAAACACCAATTTTACAGTTTCTCGGATATACTATACCATTATTTAGATATGTACGGTGACTATGCTTCAATATGTTTGCAATATCGGATTAAGAACACTTAATCAACAATTCCCGATGCAATCGTAACAATAATTTCAAAGCAGTGGGCCGAGAACTGACCCACCCACTGCTTCTATAAGCTCTTACGAAAGCTAATATGGAAAAATAGAATGCTTTTATGAATATTTAACAGAGAACCACACCCCATTCAAGGGTATATTCGGTGTACCTAAGTAGCATAATGAATTAAGAAGTAAACGAACAAGAATGATTTGATTCCATATTAAGGCATTCCAAGATATTCAAAATTCTTTGGACTCGATAAATCTTATTTAATTTTGAGGACTTTGTGGGTTAACATAAACAGAAATGATGGTATATGCTTAATTTTGGTTTAGTAGTCGGTGATTGGAAAACCGTATCTTCATAACAATCCACAAGGAATTTTAATTGATTAAAACTATTTACCTGGACTTTTGAATGCCTACAAATATTTTTACCTAGTAATACCTAGATATGATGATTATCTGTGTAATTATTAGAGAGTAAATCGTAACGGAGTGATTTCAATAATATTATACGTGGTATGCGTTGTTTTTCGCAAGTAGACATCTAAAAATTCTGATCTATTTATATTTGAGACTATTTAAATTCACTTTGACGCGAATGATACACGATATATTTGAATTTACAAATATCCAGTTTTCAATGAGCCGCCGCTTCTCGACAAGTGACATTTATCTTATGATGTCAGTATCACTATTTCAGAAAATCCATCATTTTTTTTTTAATTAAGCGTGATCTCGTCTCAGCCGACAACGGAACATAAAGTTGTTTAATTTATAAAATAATTTAATGTTACTTTGTTTATTATAATAAGCAGTTCGAAGAAATAACTAAAAAACCTGTTACCTTCTCCAAAATATACGTTAATTGTTGTTTCATTTCGTGAGTGTAGTTATCATATTCGCAATTTTTTTAGTTCCTGTATAATTCCTAGCCTTCTTTACGCGGTTTCGGTCTATTTTATTAATTGTTGCTTTGCCAACAGTTTGTAAGCAATTAAACACGTTTATGATTGTTACGGCAATCGTTTTTAGACGTAAAGTACACTCATAGATTTAAGAAAATGATTAGCTTCGTCGGGTTGCCACCGGGCCATGAAAGAGGGGTCGAAACAGGTCTGTACTGAATTATATTTCAGTACAACGTACGTTCAATCAACCGACATGTACAAGAATTTTTGCTATAACTTTGTATATGTTAATGTATTTCATCCCTTTGACTTTTCTTCGTGCGAAAATTATTAGAAATTATGTTGCTTCTGGTCAACATAGACTCAACGTTGGTGGCTCTAAGTGACGTCACTACTAAAAAGGTCTGTTCAGTCGAGTGGCTGTTAGCGGCAGCACCGCGAAGCGGCGTCTGTTTATACGAATTCAAGTAATTAGTCTTCCGCGACAACACGTCGATCCAAGAAGGCGCCGGAACTAGGTCTGTCTCTCTAATTAACCTGAAATTAATTGCAAACGCATAGCTCAACTTCAGCCATTGTAATAAAAGGTATTCACCGTAAATGGTAGAGAATAATGCTGGAACAAAGCCCTCTTATGTTTCTATTAAATTAAGGTTTACTCTCCCGGCGAATTGTATGCTCTTTGTGCTACTTAGTTTTCGTTTTGTCGTCTGGCGCTAGTCAAAATAATTTATATTGTAATCGTTGAATTTTGAAGCGAAGTAAGCGACTACAGCGGCCTGCAGCGAGCTGCAGTCTAAATGGCTTTTGAAATATACAAATTGGAGCGTCAGATGTGTTCATTACTTTCTTACGTCAATTATTTCTCGATTCGTCAGTGAAAGATCACCCAATTGGATATAACAAGTACCTGCCGGCGGAAAGGGGATTGTGAAACGAACAAATGGTTAAAAATCAAGGCTTGTTCTTTCTATTAAGTCGGATAATATCGACGTTGAAAGTCGAGGCTGTCTCAAATAAAATGTGGATTAGGGGAAATGCGGCAACAGCCTCACATTTCTAGATTTTTGTATCTACATCAACTTCAAATAGAGACAGAGGTTTATTTAAGTGTTACACTTGTGTAAGATGAGCAGTAACCGAACAAATTTATTTCCAGTTTGTTGAAGAACTATATACAGAGTGGAAAGTTTAACTGGAGCAAATTCTGTAACTTTGTCGCAAAATTCCTGAAACACGTCAGTTTTTATTTTCGGAAACACTTCTTTGAGATAGGTCCGTACATTTTGAGCAAAATGTGGTGGTGCCCCGTCTTGTTGAAACCGTATCCGTTGGTCAAATAAATCGGGATCCAAATTATTTACACGTTAAAATGCAAACAAGTACCAACAAATCAATCACATTCGGTTCAAATTGGCCAAAAAACTATTGAGCAGGTGATAAGGTATGGAATTTTTATTGTGGCTTATCAAGTAAGAAAAAAAATGTATACATTAAAGAAGTTTAAGTAAACAAATAAACAAACCTCTTTGTATTATGCCTCATTGAAAATAAAAATTGTTTCAGGAATTTTGCGACAAATCATTATTTATATCTTTCCACTCTATATTTTTCGGATATGAAAGTAAATATTTTACTTCTTAAAACAATTATAATATTTTACGTTACTTGAGTACTTCGTTGAATTCGAAAAATCTAAAAAATTATTGGCGTAAAAGTTATTGAGGTTTAGCAGAGGGCCAATTTCTATACCACTGAATTTTCCGGCCTTTTAATATTTATATTTAAAACTGTATTTTCATGTGCATTTGCATTACCAAATAGGAAATGAATATTCAACGAAATAATTATATATATCTCCTATTTAATTACAAAATTTTAAATATAAAATCATCCGTATTGCAGATAATTTAGAAACAAATGAACTTTCGTTATTCATTTTTATGGGGTCATGGCCGTTTTGATTAAGTTAGATAATAATAATTTTCTTCACATCATTGCACAAATTGAAAAATTACTATGTAGCTAATAATGCTAATATATGAGGCTTGGGAGGATATTCCAAAGTAAAGAAAAAAACACCTCTATTTAACAATTGTATCTTCAATTGTTTTGTGGTGTCGTATTCTAAGTTATGAGCGGATTTCAAATTTACGCTCAACTTTCCAATTGGAATCACTTTACGCAGGGCCAACCGCGATTAAAATAGAGGCCCATATTCATGGGAACCCAAACAAAGCTCCACGAGAAGTAGAAGGCGTGGCAGTACCACGTCAGGTTAAAAGTCCATCATCCGTTTCGGGCGACTACAATTCAAAGATAAGCAAAATCCGCAGATGCCAATTGCCCAAACTAAGGCGGATTTCGCTACCTCTGCTGACCCATCAACGAACGTGATTGAACGTCAACCTTCTGTGCCTTGTAGTTCAGTAACCAGGATCGGAACCTAACTAGTTCGTGTATTACGATCGATATTTCTTATTTGTAGTATACGCAGTTAAATAACATAAATCAAGGTCATTTATTGTAATTAGCAGAATTTCAATAAATCCATTTTTTAATCATTCAAAACATTGTTAAAAAATTTCACTAATTTTTGGGAGCACATTGCTCATAAAAACAATTGCGGGTAACACTGTATACAATTTTATTTAACCTGAGTCTCGTACCACCCTTGGAAAGGCGGAGGAAGGGGGCGTGAATTCTCAGAAAACCAGTAAGACTCTTAAAAAAAATTACGCGCATTCCCCTGCCATTTTCTGTACTAACCGAGCACTCCAACAATCCGGTAATGACACCAAAAAATGTGACCGTATCCTGCCCGAACTGAAACATGATACGCCCAAGCTACCACATCGGCAAAACTTTTTCGCACGCTTAGCGGCGGACAGAAAAAATGAATTAATTAGGCTTTTAAAGGAGATGATGTCATTTAATATAAATCCGCTAAAATTAAGATCTATTCGCGGATGTCACAGCGAGAAGAGGATAAATAAAACTCGCAGGTTAAGAAAAAAATTGGCAGTAAACTTACAGTTAGAGGTTTATTATTATTCAGCTGCGGAAATATTACAGATGCCTTTTATGGCCCGTAATTAATGCCATATTTCGTCCCGGGCAACGACCAG